CTCTAGTAATAGCACTTCTGTGACAGAAAAATGGTACTAATGCGCTAGCCAGTTTTAATGTGACGCGCTAGCTGATGCTGAAGAATCGCTATTCGGTCGGAGTCAAAGAGATAACGAATTGCAATAAACATGTTTCTCCTATGAAAAAGGTTTTATAAGAATAACTAATATTTTCAAACGCTTAAGCTATGTGTAATTTTATTAAGAAGTCAACATGATGAAAGGCATAACTCTAGAACTGAGAAGAGGGAAAAATTGCATAGGGCAGTCACCGGACCACCCAATATCCAATGAAAAATACAAGCTAAACCCTACTACACGCATCCTTTTTCGATGACACAGTTCTTTAGTGTTTAACCATGCGCTTCGCAAACTTGGATCAGCAAAATGATAGCGCGGTCAGTGTACCGAACGAGCAATCACGAGAACGTGAGAAAAACAAATGTTCCGACTTTAGTCAACAATCGGAAAAACGTTGACGCGAATATGAAATTATAGAAAATCAGAAGATCGGCCAAATGAGATCTTAACGACAATCGGTAGACAGGTGTTAGTGTGTTCCATGGGATGACGTGTGCAGAATAAGAACAATGACAACTCGAAGTCAACTCTGGATTATGATATAGAAGAAGGGCTCCTTCGATTCGACTGACGATAGTGAGGAGCAAGGGTGACTTGAATAATAGTCCCCTGTGTGAAAATTTCAAAGCGGAAATTACAAGGCATCGTGATGGAGTGTCTCGTTTCATTGTACTTTAGGTCTTTGACAAAAATGGTAATGCTAAGAACATTTACTTACAGAGATAACCCGGTCTCCCATGTTCATCATTCCGGATTTGCCGGCAGGGCTGTTCGGTAGCACACTTTTGATGAATATTCCTGATACCGTGCTGCCCGTCCCCGGTAGACCACCCTTTTGGGAAACCTCGACCCTTCCGCCAACAATTGAAATACCTGAAAACAGCACTTTGGAAGAGAAGTTTGACGATTCCAGAATAATGCAAAGGTTTAGACGTATAAAGTGACTTGCCGAAAGATTTGTTCGGTTCTCGCTGCAATACCACAGTCCGCGCTTCTCCCCAAAACTTCGAACGAGGAACAGGCTTCGCCTGAAATATCCCCGAATTTAAGAAATCTACACAGCAAAGTATGCCATTATGAATTTATGTAAGATCAAAAACAAAAGAATTTTAGTTATCTTCACACCTATATTTTTCAGCAGCGTGTATAGCGAAATGGTTAAGGGTCCCTTGCAATACACAGTGGCCCGATTTCTGGTTCGACGCCGTGTTCCGAGCTAAGAAAGAGTCGGCGAATGGGTACCAGACAAGTTTGGAAGGAAAAAACCTGCGACTTGATTGATACATCGATACGCCACAGCAAGTCAAGACCAGATATGCATTCATTCACTGCTACGATGATTTATGAAGTCGAGTGCTTGGGGCATGCTTCTCGGATTGACTAACGCAAGAAGCTTTATTCTTCTTTACATATACTTTCCTGCGATAGGCATTCATTTACCCACACACTTTTCCACAGATCTACCTCAATAACCTCACGGCGGATCAGTCACCAGGTTATATGGAGGTCCGTCCTCAAGTGGTAGGCAGGTGCTAACTGCGGACTAAAAATGATCTTCTGCCTCGCTGACACACAAGTGAGTCCACAGCGTCGACTCCCTGTTTCTGCTGCGTCGATATCGTACATTGTCTGCGAGGACGTGTCATGCATGCGTGAGTCGGTGTGTTAGCGTTTTTGCGGATTGTGTTCTACAAATCATTTAGCCTGCGCAGTGGCAGTGATGCCATTCATCACGAACAAGGCACTGGTTTGACCTCGGACCGCTCACCAGGTCCCCTCATCTTTTAGGCTTGGGGAATCGGTACCAGGCTGGTCAGGAACCAGCGCACTCTCTACTACCTAAGTTGAAAAGCCTAGATGGTGGATGCTAGGAAATGAATCGAATATATGAAGCTCTAGAAACAGCATTTTACATGTTAATATTGGTCATGTAAAAGAAAAAATCGGATACATGCGGTTGAACAGGAGTGGATCAATACTAGCTTTGACAATCATTGTCTTCTACGGACCTACATCAAGCTATGACGAAGGCGAAGTCGAAGCGTTCTATATGGACTTGGAGAAGTTCTACAAAGAAGACCATATCTTTTCTAACGGTTACTAGCGATATAAACGCTAACTTCTGTGTAAACTTCTGAAGAACGCCACAATGGAACCCATAGGTTGGAATGGACCGAAATGAGTAGCAGCCTTCAGGGTTTGTCGAAGCGACCAAGAACCTCCATGCTGACCCATTGTTTCAGAAGCTGAACTCTCAGCGCTGCATATGGGAGTCCCCCAATGGAGGATGACCTGTATCACTTGGTGTCTTGTTGATAGTCAAGTGACTCCAGTGGGCGCACTAAATCATCCGTTGCTCGCGCGCAAAAGTAGCCCAGCTGGGTTCTGCTCATTCTAGGGACTCGTAGAGCATCAAATTTTTCTTCAATGGTTTTGGTGAGAAGAACTTTGACCATCGGATTCGGAGAGTTGGATTTTGTGACGATAGCTCGTGTTAGTTTATCAATGAAAGAATAAACACGTTGAGACATGAAATCAAATGTTTTCTCCTTCACCAACAGATAAATTATACCTTTGTGAAAACTACATCCAAAAAATTCGCCGTACAAACAAAATCGAAAAACAAGCTTATCAAAATGCTTGTCTCCGGAAGCCTAAATTAAAGATATCTAAATTGAACTGATAGTTTTTAGAATTTCACTACAGGTGAGAGCACTTTGACTTCTTATCCCAATTACTCCAAGAAAAAAGTTTAGATAGGCTTTGAGATGACAACTGCAGAGATTCGAATTCTATAGCCGGTCTTAAAAACGAAATGTAAGACTCGCTCTAATTTAAAATCTCAAACTGACTTTTAGAAATAAGGATACTGACCTTTTGAACAGTATTTTCGGAACCAGTACTAGATGTCCGGCCGGACATTGCGATTTCCTCAAGGGCTTTGCTAACCGTTGGTTCGTGATCGGTTGTTGGTCGAGTTGTCGAAGCCTTAGGGCACTAAAAAAAGCGCAACTATAATTTCTCAGATAAGAATGAAAAGCGGAAAATACCTTGAAAAAACTAAAAATGAAACAAAATTGGAAAGAGCTCAATTATTTATGATAATCTGAACCAAAATAATGCATGAAAGACCACCTCCGGTGTTTCAAGGTTATCCAAATCTTTGAACATCGTTTTCTTCTCTTCGACAGAAAGACTGTTATCCTTGGTGTTTGCTTCTGATGGGGGCCTACCCTTCGATGGTGATAGCTTTTTCGGCTCCAAATTTGCTTCACTAGCCCTCGAAGACTTGGAAGTCTGACTGTCCTTCCGCAATATTGTATAAGGTGGGCTACCGTGTCTATCAGGACTACCAAGTTGAGATCCTGGAAAACATTAACGCTTAATTCAGAAGGAAGAAATAGGACTCGGAGCATTCTTAAATTCATGATGGACATAGGCAAAACTCAACTTCTACCCTCTACAAAGGAGAATATCTAACTGCTATGTGATAGGATAAATTAATAATAAACCAAAACATAACAAACAACACCTGAAGAAGAGGTTAGCGAAAATTCTTCCCGAGTTTTCGAAGTAGCTCCTTGTGAGGAGGACGCCTCAGAATGTGTTCTCGAAAAAATTTTAGGTTTCCAGTCTTTAATAGTACTGCTCATAAGGAATTCAATGATAGCATCTCGAAACACTTCCTGAAAAGAAAAAATCAAAACGAAGAGCAAACTCTAGTGCCCATTTTGCTGTACCATCAGCTATAAGCTAAAAAAAGATAAATCTTTTGGTTTTGATCCCTGAGGGTGCGCCATGCGTCCATCTTCATTAAGCCTCGTTAAAGGTTACTGAATGTATATCTAGTCTTTACAATGCTCGTGGTGGTCTACCGATGTATCGAGTCTGTGTTGCTATCCTGTCAGAGAAGTCTGGTACCAATTTTCCGACCCCGGGAGGATGGAAGGCTTGGTGAGCCTGGGGGGCGGGCTCGATCACAAGTGTATTCAAGGGCGCTTCTAACTACTGCACTAAACACGCCATCATCAGCTACAATGACCCCATAATTAAACCTGAACAAGCCAAAAGGCCTAGAGCTGAAGAAATTCGACTACATTACCATGACTTGTTTCAATACAGCATTTTAATGTACTAGCTTATATTAGGACGATTTATGAAAGAAACCCCATAAATAAAAGACGACGTTAAAGTACACTTGTTGTAAGATCTACATTGAATATGCGGTAACCTTTTTTTTCTTGAAAACATGTTCTATTAAACCTTCAACAAAATGATGATCCCATATTCGGCAAATTGAAATAGACGAGCCCGTGGTACACAAATACTGTTGACCAATGACAATAATACAATTGAAGTATTTCATAAATTAGATTGAAGTACTTAATATTTTAGAGCCTGGTGCTCTACCGATCCGATTCCGCTCTGGGCCAATCAAACCACCTATCCTTCCGGGGTCGGGAAATTGGTACCAGTTTTGTCTGGGAAAAAATCACTCTCTGCAATCCAGTTGGGAACGTTCCAGCCCGGCTATCTCAGGACTCCAGGGAGAATTGACTCGACCACCACTCTATGACATTCAAGATGAAATGGAAATCCTTAAGCAGCAACCGAAGCTACACGCGAAATTTGCAAGACCTTCGTGCACACTGGATGGGAGGAAACAAATTGAGAAGCGCTGGGATCCGCACAGTAGACTGAAGACGGATCGAATACAGTAAATTTCCCGACTATGACATCTAAGAAGAAAGTGGCAAATGTGCGATCTAAGTGACAACTTAAGTAATAATTAATAAACAAGTATTATCAATAGTAATAATATCAATAGTAATATCAGTAAAATCAATAGTAATAATGTAATAATTAAGTAATATCAATAATTCAAAATAGAGGTCGACAACAGTATAAATCTAAGCTTCTTATTGTACCTGAATAATCTGAAGCACGAAACTGTCCAGGACACTTGGGTCTAGAGGTGTTTTGTTATGATCTTTCGTTTCTTTCATTTCTATCTTGAATATCTCGGACGGCGACTGAACATTGGCAATTTCTGACATATCAGAAAGCGGTTCAATGTCGTCCGTATCTCGTAAGGATTCCTTCCGCGACACGTAAGGACTTCGATAGAATTTAGGAAATACTCTAAAACGAAAATTATTATTGTACAAATAACATTTTCGCCCTTTAATCGTCGAGCATACATACGCTAATATACAAGCGGCTTACTCCGTTAATCCTTAGAGATAAGGTACATTCTCTAGGAAAAGTTGGCTCTAATGCATGAAGAAGAGCAAGCTTTATTTTTAAATTTGAGATTACCCTTACCAAAAACAACAAACAAACAAACTTGGGTGATAAGCGGTTGACAACTGGGGACTCGGTCTCGTTCTCGCGATAAAATCGTTCTTTCCAAACCCTCGCATCAGCTGCAGTGATGTAGGTGACGCTGAAAGCAACAGCATATGAAACTATGATGGTGGCAAATTAATGTGAGAAGTACAAGTGAAAAAGTTTAATTAAAGAAATATCCTCTCTTATGTGAATATCATTTATTCCAGAATTTTCTCATTAAGAAATTTTCGAAGAAATGGATACTTGTCGGCTGCGGGATAACGAAATCTGCCAATATAATTAAATCAAACGCATTCATAACTAGAAAGTTTTGAAAATGAAGTTGAAATTAAGTTCAAAACAACTGCAAAGCTTCTACAATTGATAAAAATCATATTATGTGCACATCTCTGAAAAATTCACATTAATTTAAGCCATGCATTTCGAGCCCGGAAACTTTAAGAAGTCTTAAGGGAACTACCTGCAAATTAAAAGCAACGTTTGGCACTAAACAGTTATGAATACAACGTATTCATAACTTTCGAGACACACATTGCTAGGGATGAAATTTTACTTCAACACAGCTGAACCTTTTTGAAGCTATTTTTAAACTGTTATATCCGCCATTCCTCCCAACACCAACGGTTTACCGCTTCATCGCGACTGGGAGGTGGTCCTGGGTGTCGGGTTGCGATGTACAGCGGGGGAATTCATAGCCCCTCCTCCTCCCCCCACCCGACCCATATGGTCTCCCACGGTGAGAAGGAGCCCAGCGTTTCAATCAGAAAACCTACCTAAGAGTAAACCAGTGCCACGATCTACCATCGTCCTGGTATCAAACTGGTCGCATGGTGGCAAACCTCCCTTTGATCCATAAGGGCGGTAACCGCCTGAGGTAGTGACGACTAGGGGCAAGCTTTGGCCAGGCTGACCTCAAGACTGGAGGGAACCACAATGGCTAAACCAGCAAACTTCGGAGAATGGAAATTTGGCCGAGGCCCGCACAACCAGTGAAGATGGGCCACAGTGAAGTATCCAAGTATGTCTGCCATTTAGGTCCATACGCGACGAATTTTGTAGCAGTAGTGAAGCGATGTTTGACATATAGATTTTACAAATTCAGTCCGACGCTCATTTTCTGACAACTGCAGTTATTTTCCGGTCAACTAGAGCGTGATAGAAGTTGAGAAGTGGTAAACACGCAGAACCTACTCATGCAATCGTGTTAAAAGTATTTCCACTTCAGTTTGACTGGCGAGAAAACTGGAAACAAATTCCAAGCCCTCAAATTGTTCAACACAATTGCAAACATCAGCGAAGCAAACGCAGGGACCGTTGGCCCTGCTAAGTGAAATCGCACTTTTCATTTGCATTTGTGCTCCAAATAGTAGCATCGGCGAAGAAGTCAAAAGAAAAGTTTTATGGACCCCGGAAATCGCAACCTGTTGGCGGAGGCTTGTAGATTCCAAATGTTTCTATTTCAATCAATAAGACTCACTAGGAGTTAAGATATTTCTGTTTAAATGTGAATAACGCAGTAATTTCATGACGCGCATGAGTCATACATGACTCGCTACGGTCGCACACTATCGTGGCTACGTCTTATTTCGGGTGGAGAGCGCGATGCCTTGTATTTAACCTTTTGCCGCGTGAGTAATGAAACATATTTGACTCACATGACCCGTCGTGCCCTCCCCGCTGAAAAAAATGACCCTGTTTCTTTTGCTGCATTTCCCGCTCCATAATTTCATATCCCTGCTATACTTCAAAATTTGTTCTTCTGCATATCATATGTTTAAAAAAACTGGTCTACAACCTACCTAGAATGCTTTCTGTCTGATAGTCGGTTTCACAGCATTCATGAAGAATATTTTGGCGTTTTCATTCATTTTGTAAACCAACAATTTAACAAGGAGACAATGAAGACATTGAAGAGGAATCTCTAACGAATCCCAACGAGGACTTCGAAGAAGATGGATCGGACGATGACAAAAAAGTGAGCGGCAAGTGCTTAAGTGGCGGTGTATGGCAATCACTGGTTATTTAGTGACAATCGGTTGGGGGCCGATGGACAACTTTTAGACTGCAAAACTAGAGCATCTTTGTTATTAACAGTGGTAGATCTTGCTAACTGGTTGTAATTTTCTGCAATTGCGCAAAATTTGTGTCATAAAAAACGGGATATTTGTGGTCTGCAACCAGAACATAGCTGAGTAATGCTTTAGGAAAATTCTGTGCAGTGTCTAGAGTGCCTCCACATATGGACTTATTGCTTATGAATCAAGTGGCCGTGGCGAAATAGCACTGTATAAGAGAAAGGTCATTGCACTGCTTCTCTATACAAGACTGGTCGTAATTATTACAAGGAAGAGCTCCAAAACGTTTCTACGACGCTCATCCACGTTCAACAGCTTCTTTCTCCTTCATTGTACCCTACGTTCCTGTTGAAATACTTACTTGGATACTTGGATGACCCCTTCACTGGATGTGCGGACCCCAGGATAGTTTCCATTTCATCGGAGTCCTGCTGGCTAAGCCATTGCAGTTCCTTGGAGTCCCGGGATCAGCCAAGTCAACGTCTGCCCCAGGCCGTCACCACTACAGGCAGTCGCCGCTTTTGCGGACCAGAGGGAGATTTGCTACCATGCGAGTGATTTCATAACAGGACGGACGGTGGTGGTCTCCGATACTGGTTTACTCTTAGCTAGGCTTCCTGATAGAAACGCCAGACTCCTTCTCAGCTTAGGAGACAGATCCTGCTGAGGGGATGAATTTCGCCGCTGTACGTCGCAGTCCGACACCCAGGAACACCTGCCAGCCACGATGATGCGGCAAATCATTGGGAGGAGATTAAACTAGTCGAAATAAATCTATTATAAACAAGTCGTGTTCCACAGTAGCTGCAGTAAACAACGTCACTACGGATCACAAAAAGTAATGAAGACGAACAGATACCGTCAACAGAGGAACCGGTAGTGGCGACTGACAACTATAAAACTGATGAAAAAAATTTATCGTAGTGACTTCGATTTGAATAGTTATACTGCCACGATAAAGAGATGATTGAAGCACCATCCGAATCTATGGAAAATCTCCCTTTGGAGGTGATATCACGACAAAGTGCAGAGTTATGACAGATATTTGGGACTAGGCTGTTTTGGAGACTAACGGACCTCTCTTTAGACAACATTACCACTTATGCCACATAAGACAAAGTTTACAAGACCAGACTAGTTGCCGAAGCTGTCACCTCAAATTTTCGAGTCAACAACAGGCTCGGCAGAAAAGTATGCATCGATAAATTTCTCGTGCCATTTAGAAGGAGTTCATCGACAGCAATATACCACAGAAAAGATACAAGTTTGAAAGTAAGTTGTTCAATTTCTGCACAACAGACGGATATATGTACATATGTATACATATGCATACACATGTCTATATGTATGTATATGTACAAAATAAAGAAAAAAGAATAAAGGTCTTGATGTTGATCAGTCTCTAGGGGATGCGCCATGCATTCGACTTCATTAAGCATCGTTTGGAGGTGAATGAATGCACATCTGGCTTGTACAATGAGTCGCGGTGGCCTACCGATGTATCCAGCCACTTCTACGATCCTCCTAGACAAATCTGGTACCAATTTGCCCACCTCGGAGAGATCGAAGGCCTGATTAGCCTGGATCAATCCCATGTTTAGTGCAGGGCGCCTCTGTCCACTGCGCTACGCGCACTCTATATATATATACATAGATATATATATACGTATGTATGTACGCATATAAATATATACATATCTATATAAAGAATTGTAATGCAGCCGGTAAAAACTTTCCCAGAAAGGGTTTGGTACGCGAATTGATGATGAATGTCACACACGGTTTACAGCAAAGAAAGCATTTGTATAGCGATAACTGGTATGTAGACGCATTAGGTATTATTATTCGGCTAAGAGATAGGTAAGTGATGATGGAATACAAAAAGGCGTTTCAAAAAGGTTATTCAACAAAAGGAGAGAAAAAGCTGTGGCCCGACAGAATCGGAGTGGAGAAGTGAAGTTCAAATGCAAAGATAAAAGTGATCTTCCTTTCTACATTTGTCTACTCTTTCGTTTGCTCACTCTTGCGCCATGAATGTGTGGAAGATCTATAACGAGACTGTGCGGAAAATAAAGACGAACGATGTCAACACAGCGATGCGCTTCTGCCCTTAAATGTTTGGCTTTCTCACTTCAAGTTGTCGAGTTCTTTTAAAAAGAGCGATTGAGTGCTATCAAAGAGGACGTTGTGATGGCGGTCATACGAACACAGCAATATATCGCAACTTAGGAATAAATCTCGCCAAACAGGTCGACACGAGACACCAGTAACGTAGAAAACACTTTTGTGTGTTTCAATGATACCTGGCGAAAATGCAAACAGTGATGGTTGCGGGTCGTAATTATTGTGAATTATGTGTAAACAGTGTATATTAGAAAGGCTAGCAGTTAAAGATATTATAAATAACGTAAATGCAATAATATAAACTCCAAGGTCTGGAGGTTACATTTCCTAGAGCATGACTTTTATAACATATGCACTTCGTGACCTCTCAATGGTTTACCGCCTCATCGTGGCTGGAAGGTATTCCTGGGTTTCGGGCTACGATGTACAACGGGGAGGTTCATAACCCTGACAGGGTCTCCCAAGCTGAGAAGTAGTCTGGTGTTTCTATCAGGAAGCCTAGCTAAGAGTAAACCAATACCAGGATCCATCACAGTCCTGGTATAAAATTAGTCGCATGGTGGCAAATCTCCCTCTGATCCACTAGGGCTGCTACTATCTGTGGTGGTGACGACTTGGAGCAGACTTTGGTCAGGCTGACCTCGGGATTCCAGGAAATCACAATGGCTAAACTAGCAAATCTCCGAAAAAAAAGTGGAGGTTATGATGTGGCCACAGTGAGGACGGGCCATCTAAGTAACCAAGTATACACTTTGTGAACACTTTTTTGAGAACAGTTTTGCTAACGCTGGGAATGCAGCTATGCTAAAATCAACGCATAGAAAACTTCTCAATGATTTACAGCTTTATAGTAGCGAGAAAAAATATCGAAAGTGAAGAACATTAGTGTTCAAGTACAGCGAAGCACCTCTGTACATTACCCGACATTAACAATCTTTGTAGTGGGTAACTTTCCACCAGCAACACCCTCTCATCGCGAAAGAAACATGGCCGAAAAAACATTTCTTGCAGATTACTAGTGTATAGTACACGTTTTCATGGAACACACCTTTTAGCATAATTTCTGGTGCATAAAATTCCCACTGGATCCAAAAGGTACAGCAAAACAACTCTTCTCCGCAAAACAAAGAAAATGAATCACATATGATTCATGTAGCTTCCACATGGTTTTTACGGCCGTGATTGCGTTGAAGCAACATATTTAAGTCAAAATGTGAAGCGAATGTGGGGAAAAAGGTACAACATGATTTGTTGGCTTCGTTTACCCTGCAATAAAACCTTACGACCGAACTCGTGTGCTGTGGCTCAAATCTCACCTTTCTAATACTGGACAGTGCTACTCAGCTGGAAATTTTATACAAAAGAACAAAGCAACACGATTTTGCAAGATGGTCAAAATCAGGATAAAATGTCACATTTCGTGGGAATCTTTACGGAAATAGATTTCGGAAATAATTGGTGTTACACCTAAAGAAACCCACAGCCTTAGCGCAAACGGAACAATGATGTTCATTGGTGGTGCAGAGAGCAAATTTTGACACTACTAACACTTGTACATTCATACTGAATAGGTCTAGGCAAGAATTGTTGACCGTTTCATCTCCTACTAAGAACAAGTTATTTTTTAAAACAATGACTATCAAGGTAAACGAGAGACAATAAAAGGAAAACGCCGAATGAAAGGAAACATTGACGAACTTGCACTGAGTACCAATCAAATTGGTGCGCCGGAGGATTGCTCTGACTTGCGATGATGTCGCATTCCGTAGATTTTCTTGGTTGATTCGCACAATATAGTCACCAACCTGGAACAGAAACACCCACACATAGTAATCTAAATCTCCACATCGTTCACCGTAACAGACCACCTACGTGTATTTCGGTCACATATGAAAAGGCACCTAATGGCAAGACAAAATTAGGTTACGGATCATTTGAAACTTAAAAAGAGTTTGAATTATAACTGCATAACATAAAAGGTCAGCTGTAAACTCAAAACTGACATCAGTTTTTGGGTGTGTGAAGTTTTCACTTTGTTTTCCATCAAAACGACTCGACTGCATACACCTCACGTTTATTGAAAGTACCAACCGTCTATGTTAAAGAAACGACTGACTGACCTGTATCCTTCCGTCCACACCAATAGCTTTCTTGCTACAAATACTCTTCACCACTGCTCCATTCACTCCCTTGTCTTTGTTAGCATCGAGCACAAAACCTCAAACAAATAAACGCTTTACAAGCGTACTAAAGTGGTAACACTACCCTATAATTAAACAGATACCAAAGAAAGCGCCCTGGATTTTAAAACCCTATTTCACGGATTTTTGCACCAATCTGCTACTATCAGATTTGGTGCAGATCGATGAAAAAGTTTATCACATGCTTTCCGTTTCACTCCTCACGTTTATGTACGAATAAAGTGTTTTTCAAATAATGCGACACTAATAAATGAAACCACTTAGAAACGATTTCTAACAGCGCTCTAGCACAAACCACTAGCTAACAAAATATTTTTGCGTGAACCTTCCACTGGCCTCGACAAAAATCAAGAAAATACCTATTAAATCTAACTCGACTTGACCTTGAATCGTCAATTTTTACAACCACTGTCTTAATGTCATTTCGATAAAGAAAACCTTTCGTTCTTATAATTTCCTAACTTTTTGTGCTATTTTCAATTTGTTGCAATGAATTGACTACCCAAAGATTTTCACTTATTAATTGCTGCCTACCCTTTTTTAACGGCAGGGTATATTGCGAAATATAACTTTAACGATGCTGAGATATTTACAAAACTCCGGACCGCAGTTGTCTGCGATGGGGAACGAACCAGCTATTGTCCTTTCCGGGGAGTAACGTGTTCACCACCACACCATGCAGGCCCTTCGTTACGCCTGTCTCTCAGCCAGTTCTATCGATCTTTTGCCGTCAGCAGGATTGATCTAGGGAGCCCAAATCGGTGACACTGACGACAAAAGATCGATAGAACTGGCTGAGAGACAGGTGTAACGAAGGACCTACATGGTGTGGTGGTGAACGCGTTACTCCCCGGAAAGGACAATAGCGCGTTCGTTCACCATCGCAGACAACTGCGGTCCGGAGTTTTATAAATATCTCAGCATCATTGAAGTTATCCAAAGATTATTTCGGAAACCGATTTATCTCTAACCCCGGCATGACTTATCAACATGTTTTCAAGCCGACCGTCACTTAACCACGGTAGTAAAATAACTAATATGTTTGTAAATTGTTGAGCTGACACGAAGCTGATAACAAGGCTTATTCGGCTAACGTCTCGACGCCTTCGTCTTCATCAGGGCCGATGGTCCGAGTCGATGGTCCACCAATCGACGATCGAGTGGACTATCGACTCGAATCATCGGCGGCTCTAATGAAGACGAAGAAGTCGAAACGTTAGCCGAATAAACCTTATTATCAGCCTTGTGTAAACTCAACAATTCAAAAACACATTAATCAACATGTATTTCTTCAGAAATATCAAGAAGGCGAAAGTGCTAAAACACTGCCCGAATAAAGTCTTTTTTCCAAGCTAGTTTTGGCTTATCAATGGAAAAAAACTTATCTGAAGAATATTTTGGATAGACTAACTTAGCCCTGGCAAAAAACTCCACTTAATATTAAAATGGCCTAATAGTTTAAAAAATCAGGCAAAAGCTGGTAAGGAAGTGCAGAACAAAAGAGGTTAATTGTGAAAACCTCCACAGTACAATAATTATGTCAAAATGAACCTAAGACAGAAACTGATAACCCGGTAGGTGAGTAGGTGATGGGCGTGGGTGAATCACGTCATTTTCTTTAGCTCTTCCCAGGGGACAAGATCTATTCTTATTCAAGTCTTCCTATCGATATCATTTATATCCATCATTCACAACTGCCCCAATCGACGAGGCAGGGTCAGCTAATTATTTCTTACGGTTCACTCCCCACTCTTAACGTTGCGAAGAGCCAGAAATTCTAAGAGCTGGTGCCAACGCTAACATCAGTTCACAAAACAAACTGAGAGGTTACAATGTGGTAGTCGATCAAAGAGCATCAATCTTAGGATATTGACTGCCGTGGTTGTCGGTGTAAGCCATGCGGGACGAATCCCAAAGAATGCTCTTATTAGATCGCTATCAAATAGGAATGGAGCTACTCTATGTCAATAGTCGGCTTATGACTTGATGGAACTTCATGATTTCAAAGAAAAAAGGAAAGCATTTTCAGCAATGATACCCAAAATACTAGGTGCGCTTGGTCATACTATCGCCGAGAGGAACTTATTGAGATACTTTAACGCAAAATGATTTTGAACCTAAGGATACAGAGATTTTTGCGGGTCTGGAAGCTTCTGCTTTTGAATAACAATGTTGCAACAGTAAAAGTGGACGTATGACAATAAAAAAAACATCTCTTAACAAATCTATAAGTACTCACATTTTGGAATATGGGAAGAAAATTTGACTGAGGATATGAAATACTTATAAATAAAACCGCCATGGTGCTGAGATATTTGCCAAACTCCGGATCGCTGGTGTCGGTCGGTGAGGACCGAACACGCTAATATCGTTTCCTGAGCCTAACGCGTTCACCACCACACCATGCGAGTCCTTCGTTTCCCCTTTCTCTCAGCCGTGCTATTGACCTAAAGGTGCTATTAGCAATCACTATGCTTACAAATAGTTTGCTCTATCGACCTATGGGAAAATGAATTTCTAAATTGCAGTTTCGGCTGTAAATCTGTTTCAAATTCACAACAAAAATGGAAACCAAGTTCATAGCTTTCTTTTACAATTTTTAATTCAAGCTGGTAGCAAACATCGATGACACACCGAGATAGAACATTGTGTTCCACCGTTTCTTACGAAATTCTTATTGGTCAAACGCCGCTTCCGTTTTCGAAGTACGAAGCTTGACGAGAAAAAAATGAAAAAAGATGTTTTATAAACTCGAATAAGTTTTAGTCTTAAAACTAAGAAAAACTATTTAAATTTTCGAACAAAATTCCATTTTTTAACCAGGTAAAACGAAGGAACCGAACGATGTGCTGGTGAAAGCGTTAGTCCCTCTAAAGGGTAATAGCACGTTCGTTCCCCACCGCAGGCATCTGGTGAGTTTTGCAAATATCTCAGCATCACAGCGGTTTTATTTCACACCACACCCTGGCGTAAAAAAATAATAACAGGCGTTAAATAGGAAGTAAAAATTTTGGTCTTCATTTCAATTAAAGGACTGAGATGTGTTTGTTGAACGACTTAATACCTCTTGGTCGCGCATGCTTTGAAATCAGTGCACCTCGTCAGCTGTGTTAAGGCATATTTGCTATGGGTGCGCGCTACGTCGAAAACATGTGAGCAACGAACGAAGGAATATTTTGGTATATTCCACTCCTAAGATTGAACAACTTCAATGTCTATTAAAATCAGATCTATAAATCTAGGGGTCGTGTTCTCCTAAGAAATTTCATGCGATAAACGAAGATGCGAGAAAAAAAGGAAACAGTGAGCAGGTAGAGAAAATTAAACATAATAGAGTTGTGAGCAATGGAAGTGCAGTTACGAAGTGAACCTTCTTCAATAAACAAAAAATCGAAAACAAATTGTTAATGGGGAAAAAAGAAGGAACGCTCACCTAACGTCAACGCTCCCTTATTGATTTTGACGTTCCTTTCTAAATGAGCTGGCAAACAGACGACATCGTAGGCCCAGGATCCCCGCAGCGACACCGGCGATCTGGCGGGCGACAGCGAACGCGTCGAACATGGGGACCACGACGTCATGGACGCGTCCGACTGCAACCGAGTCCTCATTTTCATTCCGTCAAATGGAAAATTGATTAAAATGAATATTTATTACTAGAATTGGATGGACGTTACATTCGAAAGAGCCAAGGAAAAGTCTAGCTATAGAGTCTAAAGTCGGAGCTATAGATAGAAAACATGGGCAGAAATAAAAGACAACGCAGATATTTGGGTGTATCAGCTTAAGCCATCTCGAGGTGCCTAAGAAAGACCCTGGATTGCAGATCTGAAGCAGAAACTGACCCAATCAAAATCGGCCCAAAATGTATTATTTCAAACAAAAGAACTGTAGAGCTCAAGCTTAATATGAAGGACATCCTCCAATTCTCTGATTACAGCGAGATACAGGAAAGGATAGAAAAGGACAAAACGAAGCAAGAAAACAGACATACACCGTTCAAGCTCTGACCACTTCTAGTGTAGGATGGACTTCTCGAAGGATAGTAGCTCTGAAAAGAATGTAAGGAGCGGTGCACTGGAGTGGAGTATCAGATTCAGTAAGCACATTTCATCACGAACCACATAACAGAATCGATTCCAAACCTTGGTGAAGGAACCAAAAGCATGCAGCACCTCTACTCTTCAAATGATTGAATACAGTATCAAAAAACACTAACAGTTGTAGCGATTAGAAAAGATGCACGGCGGTGAAAAATAAAACTTAGTCATCGTCCATATATTATAATCGCTCCTCAGGTGAAGAATTCCAAGCCGGTTGTTAGCCACAACGCTCTATTATCTCTATTTATTATGCTCTATATTTATATTTATTTATCTATATTTATAATATTAGCTCTATTATGCATTCCAGTCTTCCCACCTTATAGTAAAGGGTTGTCAACACGTATGGATGTGGATCCAAATGATGGATTTCTTGTCACAATTATATGGAATTAATTCATATCTTTCTTATTTAAGCAAATATGTTCATGAGTTATGCGCACTGACCTTTGTGAAATTGTCAGCTCCGACAAAAGCTCGTCTCAGAGAAATAATCCCCATGTCTACTCTAAACGAGCGCATATTTAAGCCTAACAATCGTACGGTATAGCCCCAGTGAGCAGCGTTTCGCCAAAGACACTACATAAAGTGCACCATACGAAAAGGATAACGCTCCTTGTGCTCCCCGATCGAGTTGAGCCCCTTAATAGCTTTGGCATTCGACGTAGATGATCACATATCTCATTCATGTTCATTCGAGCGAGTCACTTGATGATTAAAGGTGTTACAGGTGATTTAGGCGACAGTAAGCCATATCCAAAATTAGCACTACTAAGCTAACTCACTTCCGTGCATTAACACAAAGCTTTAAGTGATCACTATCTGAGCTAACACACATGAAAACTAAAAAGTGAATTCCGATCGTTCGAATATCTGATGACGGCACAAACAGCACAAACAGACAAGTACGAATCTGATATAATTTGCATCCGGACTAAGGTTTAACGTTGGTGGTGACGGAATTATGGCATTTAGAAAAGTTAATCCACTGGTTCAAATTTCACGTAAAAAGCAAAACACGTACGAATAATAGAAAAACAGATGTTCATTTCTACCTGCGGGTGCAGTCGACGATACTGCTCAATCCCCACCCACACCGTTTCCTCACTTGAGTTGATTTGCGAGACCTAAATTGGGCACGGATTCGTTTACGCAAAAAAAAGAACGATGGAAAAAGGCAACCGGTAAGCTGCTATGTAATCGAAAAAATAAGGTAAGAGTTTTTGCTAATATAAATGGATGACTCGGGATAATAGAGCGCCCTAAAGTTTAACACTGCGATTTGAAGATAGTCAGCTAAAGCCTTTTTATCACGAAATAACAACAACTCTGTGGAGGTGAGAAAACGAGATGATTACGATGAGATGTGTAAATACTATAGAAATAAGAAGACGATATTGAGAACTTAACATGCGAAACACAACTATCCACATACGGGAATTCATTTAGGGTTACGAGGTGGCGCTAAGGAATAAATAAATAATAATACTTGAGTGCAAAAGACATAAAAAATTTATTCCAACTCCAAAATGATCGGGGATGAAATATGAAAGACTAAGATCTCTTCTTATCTTCAAATGGTAAATACTCTCCAAAATTCGTTTTAAATGAGAAACATGAAATCGGACTGCTTCCAGGTGGAAATGGATCGAATCAGTGATGTGTTGACGATAAAGCTACGATCTGGTGGCCGCTCTAATTGAAACGCACGTTGTGCATATTGAGGAAGTTCTTTCAGCGGATTTTCCAAACAAATGCCCATGAAAAAGCCAAACCCGCGGGTTTTGTACAGCAGGGTCTGGATGAATGAGAGCAACCGAAATGGCTATTCAATTCGACACTATAAGAGAACCTAGAATAGGACGTCAGCATAGGATGAATCCTAATGAAGCACGAACAAGAACAGCCATCAGAGTTGTGCGAAAGAGAACTGGGCGAAATCTTACAGAAACTATGCATGCCCAGTAGTGCATCTGTTGGCCTTTCCTTCTTGACAAAAACACCTAAAGGATATGACAGTTCAGAAAAACGTTGTCTTTCACGGAAACTACGTCTGCTCCTAACAGGTTTCTAGCTAGCCCTTAGCAACAACAAAAAAGTGACTTCAACGTAGGGATGTCTATTGTTTCCAGGAAGAAGAATGGAAGAAAAACAACAGAAATAAGGGCGATTTACAGGGGAACGACATTTAAAAAGTAAAAACCACATGCGACTGTCATCGAAATATCAAGGTCGAAATCAAAATAGAACAAAAAGTAGTTGAACCAAGTTATTTTCTAACAACGATGGACAATTACATCTGGGGTCATCAAGGGGTTTTGTTCATGCGAGAAAGGAAGCGGTTGTTTTCTATGCGTTTTCATTTCAACATTTTTTCCATGAAAAGGAAACTCGCCGCAGGTGTGGCAAATCGGATGATGTCATGTCCAATAAATGGTGGCGATGTGACGGAAATGAGCGCGAAATAAAATCGATTCGAAGAGAAAAACTCGTCAGAACAACCCGTCAAAGTGTGGTGAGGGTCCGTTGACCTCGGTTACTAAGTATTTCAGCTGGCAGTCGCACACGGAGGACGGTGAGAGCTACGATGGATGTGTAAACAACAACAGCAGAAAAATAATAAACAATAAATAAAAACAGCACAATAAATAATAATTAACGATGATAGAACAAAGGTTATAAAATAACGGCGAAAACCAAGAAGGAAAACTCTGGTCCGGATTTTCTCACCCGTTTAGTTGACCAAAGAATAAAAAAGATAAAGCTCTCGGCGTTACCTGTCCATAACGGATGCACCATGCATTCCACTTCATTAAGCATCGTTTGGAGGTGACTGAATGCATATCTGGCCTTTACAATGACTAGCGATGGCCTACCGATGTAACGCGGGCCAGTGCTGCTATCCTCCCAGACAAACCTGGTACCAATTTGCCGACCCCGGAGAGATGGAGGGCTTGGCGGGCCTGGGGCACGAGTATAGATACCACGTGTAGCTGCCTGATCGCCTCCAACCACTGCGCTACACGAGCTCTATTAGTTGATATTAAACCCTCTTCTTGCACTTTTATTTTTACGTTTTCATTTTTCACCGCAACAGAACTGTTTTAGTAGATTTCTTAGGAATGCACTATATTATGCTAATGTACTAATTTAATGCAACTGAAGGACGGATGATGAAAAAAAGTAGAGAGCGGAGAAAAACACAAAAAAAATAGGGAATGAGAGAAATCCGAAAAAGATCTACAACTAGCCAACAATCAGCAGTTAATTAATTAAGGTTTTACTTAATGGAAAACAAATAAAGCAGCGAAAAATAAGCGAGAAATCCACGCTAGGCAATTAAAATACCAAGCCACGTTAGGTAAAGACGAAAAGGTAGGTAGTTCTTAAAAGAAAATGCAAGAACAAAGCGCATAGCGGCAGCTGTTACCTGACGCCTGCGGCCTCGTGGACTGCTGCCTCGGGCGAGGAGCCGTTCGCTGCGAGTGAAGATCGGCGAGTGCGACGAGCTGTGACACTGAAGACGAACTCTTAGCCGCAATCTCGCCATAACACCATAGAGGCATTCATATCAAGAAATAAATCGGCAGTACAAATAAATACTATGTTCTGCATATGTGTTTTGAAAATTATCAAGGAATATTTACGTCTCAGAAGAGAAAACATTGCATTCAGCTACGAAGAAAAATCCTCTGCTGACCGCCAGGATGGCGATTACAACGAGAAAAACGTGTCGTTTCGGAACGACCGCATGGAGTTGAAGAGAAGGCAGATGTGGCAGTTACGATGAGAATCAATGAATAGTGAATGTTGTAAAGGCAAAAGAGTAAATGGAAGTTGGCTGAAGCGGCGGCTGGATGGAGGGGAGCAGCCCCTCCCTGGCCATCCGCCCTCATCGATTCGCATCGTTCGCTGTTCACCAAACACTCTACGAAACTATTTGCTCTAGATATTAATGGTTATAAACAATTAAAGACTTTTACGACTCTTCAACGCTACTATTTACTGCTACAAACTGCCAATTATTCCCACAATTTCCACCCAGGAATTATAGACTGCTTATAATCGTTATAAGGTTTTCATAAGGATATAGCGCTGTCTAGATATCGGAGAACTGTTCATTTCCGAAGGAGGGATAAAACGGTAAATCTGAGACTTTTAGAATAACGCAAACTTAGCAAATTTTCGTTGCTTAAGTAAGGAATTATTACTTCAGAGTATGGATTAAGGAGTTTTAAAGAATGATAATCCGAGGGATTTTCTCATCTTTGACATGATAAAGAAAAAACATCACTCCAGAAAAAAAAACAAAAGAGAGAATCAAGCATATTTGCATTTACGAATAGAAATCAGACCACCACGACTGTGAACATAAATAAAAGCAAACGATAAAGAACAGTAGAGAAAATGCTTTTAGAGAGAAAAAGTAACTTGCTTGATCTATGGGTAGCGGTTTGGCCACTCCAATTCGGATTTTTCCCATCGGAGCCGCCTTGAGCACCGCAACTGCACGTTCCAAGCTGAATACTAGTAATTAGACTCATCTAGTTGGTCGATGAAAACAACGATATTTTCCTTTAGGATCATTGGCCTGGAAATTATTCACTAGACAGCAACAAAAATCTCCGAAATTAATACGTTTCTCCTCGAAATACAACTGGATTCAACTTCCAGTCTGACTAAAAATAAAGAGTATTATAGGAAGACGGCTATGATATAGTATCTTAATAATGGTGAAGCGTCTGGCTCTAGCAGTACACGTGCCATAAAGCTCAATTTCATTTCTATAAGCCTAAACAAAATGTACGAGTTGTAGCAGGCATGAAAATGATAAACGATACAGCAAGCGGTGCTGATCAATCCCTGAGGGATGCACCATGCATTCATCTTCATTAAACACCGTTCAAGGCTACTGAGTGCATATCTCGCCCAAATAATAACTCGCGGTGGCCTACAGATTTATCGAGTCAGTGCGGCTGTCCTCTCAGACAACCCTGGTACCAAATTGTCTAACCCGAAGGGAAGGAGAGCTTGGTGGGCCTAGAACGTGGGATCGAACCTATGTGTATTTCAGGGCGCCTCTAACCATTGCTCTACACGCGCTCCGTAAATATAATAGTTAATCAGATACAAATTCTTCAGAAACATGTTTAGTAGCTAAGAATAATGTCCACAGGACGATAATAGTTTCACGGCACACTAAAAACAAGCGATTTCAAGATTTATCAAACTTTGAAGAACAAAAACAAGCGGCATGAATTAAGACTGGCCCATAAAGATTTTTTCAATAACAAAACCGCAATGGTTTATTATTATCTTAGCTACAGTGCTTGAATATTCTGCCTTGATGATGAAACTTAGTAGTTTTAAAAACTTTCCCGTTTGATAGGCATTTCACCACCAGGAGATGATTTCTTCATTGGAGCTCTGAGATAGTCATGTCAAGTCCTTGCTGCCTCATTTCATTAACCTGCCACCCAATTCTGGGAAATGAAGGGAGGTTTGACAAAGACTAAGACTTCTACACTAGTTCAAGTACGCTAATGAAGATCATGAAGTACGAATGACGTTAACAAGGGAGTGAAAGCGATCCAAACCATTATTCGTTACTTTCTTTAACACTCTCGCAACGATGCCTAATTTAGCTTCTCTGTTGCAACAAACGGGACCAAATTTTTCGCTGCCCTCACCGTGAAACCTATGGAGCTCATGACGGCCATTCCGGGAATTTCAAGATAACTTCCATGGAAGTCACTCATCACGAAAGTGTTAAATGTTGGCTCATTCCATATCGGCTATCATCTATAGGATGAATTGTTATAGTAAAACAAAATTTAGATTCTAGGCCTTCAGTATGGCGAGTGGCTTATGAGCGCTCTTCCGGATAAAACATTGAATTCTTTCTAAGCCCAGGTGATATCACCATTGCACAAATCCTGCTGCATATCGTAGTACATTGGCGTAGCAAGCCACTCAGAACATATGGTACATTCTAGAAAAAATGAAGGTAAAAGTAGAAATCAGCAGTACCTGCTATTACTGAGGTCATGTTGATTGACAAATAGCAGTCGATCACCAGGCACAATTCTTCCGTCCGCTTGCGCAACACCACCTGGTACCAGTGACTGTACTACGATTACTGACTCACCCGGATGAGCTGGATCCTGGAACTTACATTGTCAAACTTTGTTCTCCTGTTCTCTACACACCGCTGCCTGAGAAGTCGATAGTACATTCATATCAAGAAATTCAGCTATTTGGAAAAATAGTTTCTCACCTGGTAGTCAACAACAGAAAACCCTAATCCACGTTCGTCTTTCATTAGGCAAACTACTAGAGGAACGCAATTCCATACAGCGAGTCCAGTCAATGGCTCTAACGAACGGGTCCTCAAGCGACGTGAGACTTGATGAAGTAGAGCCTCGGTTTCGTTGGTCAAATCCGGAATATTCACTTCGGATTTTGCCTGGAATTATTACGTATCGTGACAGAGGTTAGGTGCGTAGGACGACATGGATAACCTCTACAATTAAAAAAAAACTTTGCCATGGCAACTATTGAAGAACTGAGAACCACCTACAGTCATTGTTTGAGAATCTTCAATGCATCGTAACACTAGTTTATGTTTCTTTTAACTTACCTTGACTATCTTCTCATTTCCGGAAGCAAGCAGTGAATACGATGCAGGAAGACTCCTTTCCGTCGTTGGCTGGAAAACATTGACGTGCTGGGTTCGCCTAGCCACTACTAGAGTCACTGGTGCTCCGGAATTAACGGCCCTAGTAAGCGCTTGCCGAACGGTCACGTGCGACTCGCCATACAAAATTGAGTGGTTCACCTAGAATATCAAAACTGAGAAAAGAGTAGTGCTTTACAATAAGTAACCATTTTAATCACCTGAAGCAGTTCATCACCAGCTTGCAGCATTCCTGAAGTAGCGGCTGGCCCATTCTGCCGGATTGATTCGATGTAGTGGTGTGGACAAAGCTGATGACCATTCACAATGTCCACCGTGCCTATAAAGGATCGCATTTCGTAGGTAAAGTGTTTTCAGATTGCCAGCATGGGATTATGCTGTTAATGGTCGCATCTTCTGTAAACATGTAAATATGCAAGTACATAAAAACGGACTATGAAGAATACTATTTAACCAAGCGCAAGTAAATTTGTATCAGGAAAAGATACGATAAAAAGCAGTGATTAGAAGTGCTCTCAAATTTACTCATAGATTTTTGGTTCGATTACCTCTCCCGGGTTGACCTTGGTTATTAATCCATCACTCGGTAAATCCGTTCTAAACTTCTCTAGGTAGGTAAAAACACTGATTTAATAAACGTGTCCTATTTTACTGACAAGGTATCACTAGGTTGTTATCAAGCATTTATTTGGCTAACGTCTCGACGCTTTCGCGTTTTCGTTTTCTTCAGAACCGTTGATCTGAGCAGATGGTCGATGGGGTTCGTCCCTCGATACATATATATATGCATATATATGTATATATATATATCGTTTCCATCAAGAAGCCCAGTTAGGAGTAAACCAATACCAGGAACCGCCACTGCCCTGATATCAATCTAGTCGCCTGTTGGCAAACCTCCCTGTGAGCGACAAGGACGGTATATATATGTATATATATATACATATATATATATATATATATAACATGCCTGCGGTGGTGACGAGCTGGAGCAGACTTCGGTCAGGTTAACCTAGGAACTCCAGGGAACAACGACGGATAAACCAGCGAGACTCCGAAAAATGGAAATTTCGCTGAGGACCGCATAACCAGTGAGGGCAGGCCATCCAAGTGTCCAAATATATATATATATATATATATATATATATATATATATATATGACGTTTAATGGAGTGTATACATGACGAACCCGTAACACACTGATCAACACCGAACGCCTTATTCCGCATTCATCATGAGCCACTTAAATAATGTAGATTTCAGCTACACAGGCAAGGATTTCCTAGTGGACCTGAGATAACCTTATTCGCACAGGAACTGAATAAAAACAATTCGGGGTTTTCCTTTGCCTAATTGTAAACAAGTCCTCTACTTCCTTTAATTAACAGACTCGTGATGGATGGTTTGTCGGCAGAGCACAGCCCAATGACAGGACATTCGCCTATGCAGATCATTAAAACGGGCTGCAAGCTCTCATAGTGTGAAAATAGGCAGGGATTGCTTGTTAAATTGATTTACTGACTCTTATCGCACAATTGCCATAGTCATAAACCAGGCTTACAGATGAAAGCATCTGGTTGTTATCCTATGAAAAAAGGTTTTCCGGCACAAAACTGCCTTGCATCGATTTTCTAAAGTGTTGGTCTTTTTATAGAATATTTAAAAGAGATTGCAACTGAATGGCTGATCAAAAGACAAAACAAAGATAAATTTTACTTTCTTTGTCAATTTTAACAATATTGTCAACATTTTCTCTATTGTTGATTACAACTTCGCATGGCAGGATACTGTGTGTGAAACAACCACAGTGACGCTGAGATATTTGCAAAACTCCGGACAGCTAATGTCTGCGGTGGGGAACGAACGCGCTATTTTCTTTTCCGAGGAATAACGCGTTCACCACCACACCATGTGGGTCCTTCGTTTCGCCTGTCTCTCAGCTAGTTCTATCTACATAGCATATTATTATTATTAGTATTAACTATTAATATTATATTATTATATGTATTACCTTCCCAACGGTTTACCGCCTCATCGTGGCTGGAAGGTGCTCGTGGGTGTTGGACTGCGATGTACAGCGGGGGGATTCGTCCCTCCGGCAGGATCTCCCAAGCTGAGGAGTCCAGCGTTTCCATCAGGAAGCCTAGCTAAGAGTAAACCAATATCAGGATCTACCACCATTTTGGTATCAAAGTCGAATGGTGGTAAATCTCCCTCTGATCTACAAGGGCTGCGACTGCCTGTTGTAGTGACGACCTGGGGCAGACTTTGGACAGGTTGACCTCAGGATTCCAGGGAACCACAATGGCTTAACCAGCAAATCGTAGAAAAAGGGGGATTATGCTGGGGCCCGCACAACCAGAGAGGACGGTTCGTTCAAGTATTAAGTAAGTATGTATTACATATATTCTACACTAGTTTTAACAATGATATTTTCTGATGGTGTAGGAAATGTTGATTTGATAAATTAAAGATGCAGAACTCACAAAAAGTGAAACAGTAAGAAAAATGAATAAAAAATAGAAAACCACGTTCGCACATTGACAGTGGACTGTAAACAATCCTACGTTGTCCTTGCGTACCTTCAAGAGATATTCCAAGGCCTCCGTCGCCAGTTCGATCAGAGTCCGGTCGAATGATGGTAGTGATAATGTCGACGTCATCGGAAAATTTCCGCTTCCACTCCGTTACAAGTCCAGGAATCGAAGATTGAACATCGATCACTTGCGTCTCCGTTTCCTGAATAATCGTCGAACTAATGCAAACGAGCCGTTTCACAAACTCCTCTTTGGGAATATCTCTAGACTTTTGTATGATGAGTTAAAGTGTTTTCCGATCTTCACTTTAGGCCAATCTCAAAGAAGTGCAAACATTTTAGAATAGTTAGAAGAATCTAGAGAACTATTTCAATCCATGATTTAAGTACGCGTCCGAGTGATGCTTAGGTTTTGCCAGAAGAGTGAGATGAAATAAGAGGTTATGATAGGAAAGGCACTAGAAAAAAAGATAATTGAGAGATTACATTGAAATTCATTTCATTTTAGGACTAAAAAGTCTCTAGTCTCTTAAATTTTACCACTCTGAGTTTTGCGCTCTGCAATAAATCTATCAAAATCCACAGAAGACTTGAAAATTGTTAACTTTTGCCACGATACTACAAAGCCGAGCTTTTCGGAACACCAGTTTACTTTCCAGTCACCAATTTCAGCTGTAGCGCCGTTAACACATAATCTATGAGACGGGTGGTGTTCAATGAATACGTGGAGGATGGAGGGACGAAGTGTATTGCACCCAATGAGCTTCCCTCTCATTTGTTAATTTTTCCATTTAGAGCATATTCCATTTTTCACATTCAGTCGACAAGCTTGTTAAGCAAAGGCACTCTGTCAAAGATACCCCATTAAATGCTGTACTCTACACTTAATAGCTCTGGACATTGATTAATCCCTGAGATATGGACCGCGCAGTCGATTAGTCAACCGTGGAGGTGACCAAAGTGTATCTGACCTATAGAATCGCCTGTGATGGCCTACTGACATATCAAATAAACACTACTATCATCCTATACAAATCTAGCACCAATTGACGAAACCCGGAGGGACAGAACTCCTGGTAAACCCGGGTGGTGGACCGGCCCACCACGGGTGCATTGCAAGACACCTCTAACCACTGCTATACATGCACCCATACACTTAACAATTTACAAAAAAAATTTCAGATGAATTTACCTTGTAGTGAGAGATTATTGCTGCAGAAGAAAGCAAGCATCACAAGACTGTTTCCGGTGAAAATAGACCTCTATTCGAACATCAAAGTTCGAAACATAGCAACGATAAGATGGAAAATCATTGAAGGGACCTTTTCGAACGGCGCGATGTTCACAAACTGTACGTCAATGAGGTTCCACACAATTTATCTTTAGAAAGAGTTTACAACTCTTATTACCACAACTTCTTACCGTTTTAAAGGCTGTCATCGAGAACATTTATCATTCGATCTATAGTGTGCAATTTGCAAATATATGCGATTTCCATATTCTACAAAATATGGTTCGTAATTTTTACAAATAAAAAGGATGAGAAAATGAGGCTCTCAGAGTTGATCAATCGCTGAGGGATTCGCCATGCATTCGACTTCATTAAGCGTCGTTGGAGGTGATTGAATGCATATCTGGCTTTTAAAATGACTTGTGGTAGCCTACTGATGTATCGAGTCAGTGCTGCTATCCACCCAGACAAATCTGATACCAATTTGCCGAACCCTGAAGGATCGAAGGTTTGGTGAGCAGCGGGCGCGGGAATCGATCCCAAGTGCGCGTTGCAGGGCGCCTCCGACCACTGCGGCACGCACCCTTTTTGCACGTATCCTCGTAATTCCCACATACACGCACTTTTTTACTTTAAAGCTGAACTTCGTAGCAAAAACGTTCCTTTTGTACAATAAGTACAGAAACATTCTAAACAACAATATTTCCCACGACGGCTGTACCTACCGCTAACGAGCTTAGGAAATCACGTATTTGCACTCGTAATGACTTGATACCGTCTTGTCATCCTAACATTAACGACATATGTTTTCAGTTAACTGCTGTTGTTTTTTGTCTTTATTTACCGAAAACTATCGGAAGTCATCGGCAAATCGGCACCGTCTACTATGCACAGCGTTGAATAAAGTTCAGTTTTTGACGAATAATCCACTGTTAACGTGAGGGCAGCGCAGTGCCAACGATGCTGTTCATAATGAGCACGTTTCTAGCTCGACCCCTCCCAAGTTCATAAAGCCACTCATATCTTCAGCGTCGGGTAACCGTTATCAGACTGCTCTAGGTCTAACTCACTTCGTAAAATTCAAATTTGCAACGCTCTAGCACTACTATAACAAGACTAGAGCGAGGATCAACTCGACCAGTATTAAAGACATTTATAATGAAGACGGCGATCCTCAATCAGAAGCCGAATACAAATGTGCAACGCTTAGAAACCTTTATGGATTATGGATGCTATGCTAGGAAACGAATGGAATGCAAGTGCTGGGGTGAGCACTGTACATGTGAAGATGGATCATGAAGGGAAAAACATTAAAAAATAGTAAGCAGTATATAAAAGTGACGACGCTGTCAATATTCTCGCGCAGTGCTGAAGGACTATGACGCATAACGTACCATATGCATGGAGTACAACGCAGTTAGTACAAGTAGCAGCAGGTGCTTTTGACTTTAAATTAACATCTCTAAGCTCAGAATGAACATTGCAAAGAGACTCACAATGTTTACTTTTTTATTTTCCGCCTTCCATAATTTTATGGCAGGGTATTAAGCGAAATACAACCACAATACTGCTGAGATATTTGCAAAACTCCGGAGCGCAGGTGTTTGCGGTGGAGAACGAACGCGCTACTGTCTTTTCCGGGAAGTAACGGGCACACCACCACACCATGCGGGTCCTTCGCTTCGCCTGTCTCTCACCTAGTTCTATCAAATCTCGTTGACGGGTGATTGCTGACGGCTCTGATCGATAGAACTAACTGAGAGACAGGCGAAACGAAGGATCCGCATGGTGTGGTGGTGAACGTGTTACTCCCCGGAAAGGACAATAATGCGTTCGTTCCCCACCGCAGATACCTGCGGTCCGGAGTTTTGCAAATATCTCAGCAATATTGTGTTTGCAAAGAGAAATAAAAGCTCTAGAATCTACAAATTTTTTCCTATGAAATACCAACTCTACCACTCTACCATGAAAATATTCTAATTCTCTATAGTGCGCAAGCCCACTATTAGCTAACTCTGTCTGGGATCATATTTCGAGCACGAAAGCAATTGAGCAAGCGGGATTTCATTCAACGGGGGACGATACAGTTCCCCAATGGAGCGCTTGTCTTTGCGTTGCCACCCACGCCTATGTTGGATTTTTGCGTCCTTTAGTTCTACCTATATATAAAAATGGAAAAATGCATGTGCGATTAAACGACAGAACAAAAAGCCTCCTCTATAAATCTAAGAAGTTTGCAAAACTAAGGCTCACATTCTCCACCGATCGAGAAAGGCGTTATTTGTAGAAATTAAACATAGGATGGTATGTGGTAAACATCAACCTAGGCTAGCTACATAAGCATTAATTCTCTACACGACTGAACTGACACTAGGCCCTCTCGAAGCGGTGGCCCCTCCACTGGATTCGATTCGATTCGATTCGATGCGACTCGGAACACAGCGATAACAAATCAGCTGTGGAGCATCGACTGGTACCAGTGTGGCTCTGAAAGGAGTGAACACCCCGAAACATTAGCCGAATTAAAGTTTTTATAACAGCCTCGTGTCAGCTCAGTCATTTAGAAAATTGTGGGCTAATGTTTTCAAGGTTTAACAAGAGTCAGTTCTTAAGATATGAATACAATGTCTTACAATATATAACATTTTACCTACAGCCCATTATTCTTTTCTCAACAGGATATTTTGTGAAATACAACCACAATGATGCTGAGATAGCAGCATCACTGTAGTTGTACCACACATAATACCCTGCCGTGAAAAATTTTACTAAGCATTGTATGAAAATCTAACATTGTGATTTCGACTACAGCCTTAGCTTAACTGGGTTCCTAGCCGATTTGGGCTCCCCAGATCAATCCCGTTGACGACGGCTTGCTAATTCCTCTGGTTGATAGAAAACTAGCTGAGAAAAAGGCGAAACGAAGGAGCGTTCGTTCTCCACCGCAGATACCTACTGTCCGCAGTTTTGCAAATATCCCAGTATCACTGCACATGCTGAGATGTTCGCAAAACTTAGACCCAGGCCAGATCGAGCCACATTTACCCTTTCCGGTGGCTCATGTATTACGCACGGCACTACTCAGGCCCTCGTTCTGCCTTTCTCTCAACCGGTCTTTTTACCCTTGCAGTCCACCAGAAAGAGTAAACGCGGGTCGATCTGGCTAAAGATCCATACTTTTCAAGCATCTCAGCATCATCGTGGTTGTCTTATAATAATATACAATTTCTAATAAATAGTTTGGACCAGTTAAAGTTCATATTCGCTGCACATATGTATGCCATACCACAATCACCCGACATTGCAGTTAGTGAAGCTAACGATGCAAAAAGGAGAAGGAACCAGTCAACTGGACATGAATTTGTTAGGTTTTGAACGCGCTGTCATGCCCTCCACATATTGAATGCGCGTGAAGTTTGTTAAAGTAATTTGTTCCAATATGGGACGCTTATAATATTTTTCGTGGAGAAAGGAAGGAACCTTGCTGCCTGTTTTTTCCTTTCTTTCTGAAAATTGAATGGATTTTCGTATAGCACATTTTGTTCATATCCTGCCCCATCTAGAGATTTCATCGATTAACCACAATGGTCACCGCGTATAGAGGATTTCTCATAGAATCATAAAAGAACTTAATTAAATAAAAGAGTATAGAAAGTTTTCACAGAGTTATAATATGTTGAATGGTCTCCACCCCTTTCTAGTTCTGGTTTTTGTTCCTTGGTATCCAAAACAAGGAAGCATCTATGCTATGCACATCACAATAGCAGAACTGGGCACTCAGGTAGAAGAGAAAGCTCAGACGATGGAGCGAAATACGTCGTCTTAGCGCAGGCTGCACTATGGATTAAGAATGTCTGCGAAGCTGTTCACGGCGAACAGAATTCTCTAAGTCTTTACAAGATCTCATCTACTCCATATGCAATGCACAGAAAATTACTTTAACTAAAACTTGCTAAACAGTCATTATGGTGAAGTTATTGGTACTATTGCTATTACCGTTATGGCTATTATTATTACTACTATTATGACTATTATTTTAACTGGGTTTAATGCCGATGTGGGCTCCCCAGATCAATCCCGTTGACGGATGGCTGCTGATGGCACCGTTTGATAGAACTAGCTGAGAGAAACGCAGATCAAAGGCCTCTATGGCACGGTGTGTAGTGCGAGAGCCCCCAGAAAAGGAAATCGTGGTTCGATCTGGCCCGAGGTCCACGTTTTGCGAATATCTGACCATCGTTGTAGTTAGTTTCGCACAATACACTACCGTGAAAAATGTAGAAGGCAGTCAATAGAAAATTAAACATTATTATTACTAAACATAAAAAAAACATATAAAACATTATTATTACTATTGTTACTATTATTACCATTTTATTACTGCATTAATGTCATTAATTTGGCGTTAAAGATAAACTTATAACCGACCTACAAAATAATTTGCGTTGGCCTAGCAATGTTTCAGGTGAAGTCAGTGTTACTAGCCACCCAGAGCCCAAGTCTGATAACAATTTATCAACTCCGGAGGAATGTAGTGCTTAACGGGCTTAGGGTGTGAGACCGATCCAGCGACCTCGTGTATATTGCAGGCCATCTCTAATCAGTGCGGTTCACACGTCCTTTTCAGAGCTGTACTGATTCTAATAAAGTGTCCACTACCGTTGTTATTTTTTTTTTACGATGTGAGTCTACGTAATCACAATGTATAACTTTTTATTTGTTGCCCCATATTTTTTCATGGCAGGGTATTATGTAAAATATCACCAAAATGATGCTGAGATATTTGAAAAACTCAGACTGTAGGCCAGACTCGAACTGGTGATTACCCTTTCCGGAGGCTCTTCGAACCTTTGTAGTTGGATCGAGTCGAATCAAGTCGTTTGAAGCGCCCCGCTAATGAAGCGACGTTAACAAGTACTGCCCTTTCTTAAAGAACATTTCTTACCGCCGGAATTGAGTGACCTCAGTTCATCTTGCAGTTCCTCCGGATTCAGGACGGTTTTTGGTCGATTGCAATCCAAAATCATTTGCTAATATGCCGACAATCCTTGGTGCTGCATTTTAATGCCAAGTAACGCTACTCCAACTCCCGTAGGATAGTGTGCTTATAAAAACAGGTAGTAGCGAAAAGGGATCAGTCAAGAACTGCTGTAAACCAGTACTTTTTTCGAAATTCCGACGTTAAAAATTACCAGCGAGAGCGCGGCAGCCGCAAAACCAAGCGGTATGATTGGAGCGGCACAAAATTACGCTTGTTCAATTGCTTTAGTGTGCGAGAGCAAACAGAGAAAAAACGAAAAAACATGTTTCCTAGGTGATAGAAAATCATAAATTCGTCCTAGACAGACGACAAAACTTGTATATTCTAAGAAAATATTTATAGTCTCTCAAAAGGATTAAACATGAGCTAAAATATGAGTCTAAACATAACCTCAGCACAAATGCGCTGTGTTCAATATATGCCAGCAGCTACAAAATAATTACCTACTATTTTTGTTACAGCAAGGGGAAGGTGGGGAAGCAATAGTTATTGCCGATTGTCAAGAGCACGGTATTGGTCCTATACTGCTCCGTGCTCACAAAAGCTTATCATCCCTCCGTGGCCGGAAAATTGCTATCATACTTATCCAAGATAGTTCACTCTCTGCAAGTCACGTGGGTACGCTCTAGTCCGGATATCTCAAAACTCCAGGAAGAATCGACTCGATCAGTATTCAAAGACATTCATGACGAAAGGAAATCCATTAGGCAGCAGCGGGACCCACACGCAAAAAGCTTGAAGACCTTCACGGGTGATGTGGGAAAACGAGATGGACGCAAGAAATGCCAAGATCCACAGAACAGATGTGAAATATTGGTTGTGTAAAACTAAAAATTAAATATGAAGCACCTATTGATAGATGTCCCTCCTAAAGGTTTACCGCCTCGCCGTGGCTAGGAGGTGCTCCTGAGCGTCGGGTTGCGATGTGCAGCGGAGGGATTTATCCCCCCACAGGGTTTCTCAAGCTGAGGAGGAATCCGGCGTTTCCACCAGAAAGCCTAGCTAGGAGTGGACCAATATCAGGATCCACGACCGTCCTGGTATCCAGCTAGAAGCTTGGTGGCAAATTTCCCCTGATCCACAAGGCGCGGCGAGTGCCCGGCGTGGTGACAACTTGGGAAAGGTTTTGGCTAAACTGACCTCGGGACTCCAGGGTACTCCAATGGCTAAATCAGAAAATATGAAAATTATTTTGCGACCCGCACAACCAGTGAAGATAGGGCATCCAAGTAAGCAATTATTGATATATTTCATTTTATCCCATGCTTTAAATGAGACAAGCACGACACTAGACGGCGAGATTTCACCAATTTTTCAGCTAGAATCACAAGCATTCCTCTTCAATAATATTGACCCTCAGCGTCCATCAATCCATGATGGTTGCGCTATTACCCTTACCGACAAGTTTGATATAAACTTGCAGACACAGGAACGGTGGAAGACAGCGTGCGGAATCGAATCAAAGACCGTGCATGTACATAGCACCTCTAACCACTGAGCGACACGCCCTCTCCACCTTTCAATACTATTAGGTGAGGAAAACCTTATTGATTTTACCAACCTTCCTTATAAAGTAAAGAAAGAAACAAAAGTAGAAAGAAACAGAAGTGAACTCGGGATACGGAAATATGGGCTACCTGTTCTTGCAGCATCTTGAGACACTGCGTCTGGACGCTGTCGGGAGGGAAGCGGATGAGTCGGAGCTCGACTTGCTTGCCGCTACTCACCAGAGTGCGCACCGAATCCGCATGAGACAGGTGTTCCAGGGACACGCCGTTCACCTGAAGCACTCGCTTCCTAGATTCCCGATCTCACACACAACATAACTACTTCTTGTAGTGACAATCGCAGTTTGTTAAAGTTTTTAAAACTTTTTAGTCCAAAAAAAGTCACCGGTTTTCCATGGGAAATTTAGCTGAGGCGAAGGGATAACGGTAAGGCTTCTACGACCCGTTAAAAATAAAAACAGAGCTAAACATTAGCCACTGAGAAACCACACTGTGATAATAAGTGAATTTCAGGGTAGAAATGCAAAGAAATTGATAACAAATATAAAGAAAAGGCGTGACAAACCTCGAGAATGAGGTCGTGAACGCGAATCAAACCGGAAAGCACAGCGGCTGACCTCGGCACGAGCGACTTGACGAAAATGCCGCCGATCTCCTCTGAAGTGAACCTCTTCTACCGCATATCTTCTCTTTTAGGATTCTCTGGACTCACTACCCTCTCCTTCGCGCTCTCTCTTCGAAAGCCTTTCGCTGATTCTGCCTCGTTGTTCATTCCCCATCAATGTACTTGGATGCCGAAAAATCAAATTACCCTGCTCAAGACCGTAGTCTTTTAGCGAAAAGCAACTACGAAACTAAGGTGGCGCTTTACGAAATCTGAACGCTTTTCTCGAACAACGTATCGCGGCAATCCCCATAGGACAAGCTCCTAGGGAGCAATTTTTCCCATATGATAACATTGAAAAGAGTAAATACCAGCAATCAGGGATTAGTTTAACGCATTCAAAGAAGTTCGAAAATTAAGCTATTCCAGTTCATTACGTAGGGTAATGTCATAGGTAATGTCGTAGGGTCACACGCACTTCTCTCTGTAACTTTAGACCTATAGAAATTTTAAAAACAGAAACGACTTTGAAGTTTTGATTAAGATAATTTTATAGATGCCACTTCTACTCCAGTTAATGAGCAAGTAGAGGGATTCCGAAAAAAGCCTCCATTCTCGTTATTCCCGAACATCAGAACTATCCAGTGAGCCCGCCAAAAATAACGACAAGCAGAGGGCACTACATCTTTCGTGCGTGCAAGACTCATTATTTCCACAATCTTTGAAAAAAGGAGGCCACAATAACTCACCGGCATCTACCATTGCATAGGCAATACTCCCGATGGAAATATCGTATGTTTTCAGACTGCCGTGGAATTGGGTTGAGGTGGGGTGAACCCACTTTAAGCGTTTTAGCTCGACATGCAAAAGCACACTATCGGGAAAAAACTTAGTATAACTTTAGAAATTCCTCACTAGAATATTCTTTGAGATATTTTACTCCAAATGATATTGCTAAAGCCATACGAATTTAATAAAATTAAAATTCATTGAGCGCTGTTTTGCTAGTGGTGCAATAGGACTGACCATTTATGTCACGGCAAAACTAAAAGACTTAAAAGAAAAAAGTTTCTTCCCAACAGCAAATAAAATGAAAAAAGCAAGGTGTGACAGCTATGGAGTAATAGACGTGTCACTCTCCTGCAATTCACCTTTCCTATGTACATATCCAGCTACAGTAATGCCTAATCCTAGTGCTGGATCCCTGAGCAGTTTGACGTCGATGGTTTGGTAGTCCGTATTTTCCCAATTCTCTCGCAGAAAGACAGTCAATGCCTAGAATCAAAACGTTGGTATATATAAAACACGATTGCTAATGACACAGACTCAATACTGGCGAGCAGAGAACCATGATAGCACGTACAGAATTCTGACCTTTCGTCGCGACATGACCTCCGTGAACAACACTGAGGAGCTGGCGAAATTAGGGGCTCCGTTTGGAATTCGTGGCACCCCCACTCAACGCGCTATTCCCTGGAGCTTTATGTTTAAGCCGAGCTGACTGAGATTTATCTCTACTAACCATCGCGTCAAGGGATATTCCACATCTAGAGTTCTCCAAAGGTGGGTTTTTGGAAACAGTATTATAGATCACTTTCAAGGTTTGCGATAGTTTTCGACATCTGGTGTAGTCGCCTTCAGAAAAAGCCAGAAATAAAAACTCTTAAACAATTTTATTTAAATCGTAAGCGAACATGTAGAATCTCTGGGATATCTGTGATATGAACAAAAAATTTGTAATTTATCATGAAGCGTAGGCAACTCTGCACACAACTACGAACAGCAATGAAACCAGTCCTTTTTCGGACTAAATTTTGGTGCTAAAAAAAACCTTGCAGAATTTCACCTTCAGTTTCATGACAGCCACAGTTGGGAATCATATTTTATCGGAAGAAATGAGCTGTAAAACTTAAGCACATATATTTTTGTCCTATTCTCCACTTCCCCCTAGTTCTAATACGACAGCGCTTAGTTCCCTTTCAAAAAACATTCTAAAGAACTACAATTAATTTTTCAGTGCTAGAACGAAATATACTTCTGAAAAATCTCACCAATTCTTGAAGTGTTCGAAGTGAAATTTTTGATGTGATTACGGGATCCTTAGACTGAGCAGTTCCGGTACTCTTCAAGCTACCATTGGGCACTGGTTTTCGAAGTTTGGTGGATTCTGACCGATCAGTTGCTGAGGAAATTTGTTCCGCTATTGAAGGTGACCGTGAATTCTTCAGTTCCGAAGGGGGTTTCTGAACGCTGACCGGCATTTGTGAATCCTGACCACTGCACGGGTGTGACAGAAAGTAGTCTTCCCCAGTGGTTTCAGTCGTTTCTAGCGCCTCCCGATCATGCGCAGTTGAAGAGGGGGATGAAGTTGCTTCACCGCCACTAGTCCTTGGACTAATCACTTCTGAAACAACAACGTACTTCAACTAAGCTGTGCGAGAAATTGTGATCATTCTTCAACATAACACTTTATTCTACAATCACAAAATCTTGGAAAAGGGATCAAAAACCAAGCTATTGTCGGAAGATTCCTCACGGCTAGAAGTATATAGCTCTCTTTCAAGCTTTATGGATGAGGGATCAAAAGCACATGCGTCTACTGAGGAAATCAGGAGCATCGTCTGGTATAAAAGGTTGCTTAACTCCTAAGCTAATGAGTTCCATAAAACTCACCGTTCTTTCGTGTTATCACATTTCACTTAAGCTATTAACCACACTAAACTACTGCTATGCTTTGATTTCGTCTAATATTATCCCTTCGTTCTAAAATGGATGCTTGCAAACATTTCTCTACGCTTATATTCTACTTCGATATGGATGCATGTATCTCAGCTAGTTCTATCGATCAGTGCTATCCGCAATCAACCGTCAACGGGATTGATCTGGGGAGCTCAAAGCGGCAGTGAACACAGTTGAGGTGAAGCTGTAGTAGAAAACACAATGGTAACTTTTTATTTGCTGCCTGCTACAATTTTTCACGGCAGGGTATGATGTGAATGTTAGAAATTTAGAAAATGTTTTGGGCAGGAATACTCATAAACTACTAGATACGTAAGTCTTAGGAAGCTGCTGTAAGCGATTTTACGCATATATCCGAAATCCAAATGGTGTGAAGAATTGCTTCCGGTTCATTTTCCGCTTGCTGTCAAGCTATGCTTAACTCATTGGCAGATATTTAAGCCTTAGGAGTAGCAGGCAGAACACTTGTGGATCTGAGAGTGATGCTGAGATATTTGCAAAACTCCGGACCGCAGGTGTTTGCGGTGGGGAACGAACGCGCTATTGTCTTCTCCGGGGAGTAATGCGTTCACCACCACACCATGCGGGTCTTCCGTTTTGCCTGTCTCTCAGCTAGTTCTACCGATATTTTGCCAACAGCAATCACCCATCAGCTAGATTGATCTGGTGTGATTTAGGCTCCCCACTAATGGTGATTGCTGACGGCAAAAGATCGATGGAACTAGCTGAGAGACAGGCGAAACGAAGGACCCGCATGGTATGGTAGTGAACGCGTTACTCTCCGGAAAGGACAATACCGCGTTCGTTCCCCACCGCAGACACCTGCGGTCCGAAGTTTTGCAAATACATTAGCATCACTAAAGTTATATTTCGCAATATATACCCTGCCGTTAAAAATGGTAGGCAGTAAATAATAAGTTAAACTTGTGGATCTGTTTTAAACTAGGACTAATCCGAATACAATCTTCACGTCCCACAGTGTTCTAAGTCTCCAGATGACGTCGTACCTTTAGATTCCTCTTGATTTATCGAAGGGAATGCTGTGGATGGAGTGATCTCAGTCGACAACGACGAGTTGTTGATTCTCTGCAGGTGCTCTTCCAAAGAAGCAGCGCATAATGCCGTTCTCGTGGACATCGTCCAACACTCTAAAACGTCTAAATCATAAAAACAGATATTTTAATGGGAGTAATAGAAAGAGTGACTCGGAACGTCTAATAAAAGAATCGGGAGCAAGCCATCGCTTCTCTCTAGGTAGAAGAATGACAGTACAAGATAAAAGTAGTTCATTGGAACGAACGAAGAACAACGTGAAATCGAACTAGATTTCAGAGTTGACGAGAGCTCCAAAGAACCGCTTCAAAGAATCAAATGCAATAGCTTTTAGCTAGGTAGCGGAAGGTTCAGAGAAAACGGTGAGTGTTTACAAAAGCTGCTTGCTATGCGATTGAAATCCAGGTTTTGAGCATCTCATGTTGCAACTATGAAAGTGCTTGCCTGAGTGGATTGATTGCGCACCATTCTAACCCTTCCAGCCACTGCAAAACGCGAAACCCGTCGGAACGTTAGCAAGTGTTGAATAAACATTATTTTAACAACTTCCTGACTGCTCATTAAGAAAACATGAAACTACTGAACAATGCCGAGGCCAATGAAATGTCGACCCAGGAAATTCTAATGGCTTTGTTTATTCAGAAACCTCGTTTTATGCGCGCTTTTGTCGTTCTACTTCAACAAATAATAGATGAACCCACACACAACTACGAAAACTGAAAATTGAACAACTTTAAAAAAGACCACAAAATACTGCCTTAGTAAAGTTTAGAAGAGCACTCAAAGCTGTACTGAGGATAACAATCAGACCGCCCTGTCCTATATTGTAAGGACGCCCCTACCTACAAGTCGACAAGATACGAAATTGTGTTGTAAAATAGAAGGGATAAAGGATAAAGCTCTCGGCGTTGATCAAACCCTCAAATCAAATCAAAGGGATGCCCCATGCATTCGACTTCATTAAGCATCGTTGGAGGTGACTCAATCCATATCTGTCCTTTACAATAACTCGCTGTGGCCTACTGATGTATCGAGCCAGTGTTGATTTCCTCACAGACCAGTCTGGTACCGATCTTCCGACCCCAGAGAGATGGAAGGCCTGGTGGGCCATGGGCGCAGGGATCGTGTTGCAAAATGCATCATTTTTTATCTGTTTAGTTCGTAAAGAAGCGTGGTATAAGTGAACCACAAAGAAGAAAAAGACTAAAAAGTGTGAAAAAAACTGCTTCTGCTACATCTACCTTAAATAAGGAGTAAAGCGTAAAGCATAACAACTAAAAGAAGAGAGCTGATAGTGAAAAATTAACCTCCAATGCATCAAATGGAGATTGAAACCTGAATTTAACAGCTCCCAGGATTGGCTTTCTATTAACCTCGGCATTGGATTATAAATGTCTCGTTTTCTCTTTCGGCAATCACGAGGTTGTTATACAGCACACGTTTATTTCCACACAAAAACACTTACAACAAAACAGTAGCTGACGTTTTGGCAGTATCGCCTTCTTCAGAGCCTAGAAGGGTACATTGATACGTAATTTACTGCGCCAAACGTCTCAACAACACAAACAGAAAGATGTGAATAGTAGTCATAGGACCAATAGCTTCTCGAAAAACCCACCACTTTTACAGGTCTTCCACTCAGGAAGAACAGCTGCTTAGAGTCGCGTATGGTTGATGTCGATTCCCCACATCAAAAGTCGGTTCCAGGATACGGGGCTAGATCACGCGTTATCTCAGGGCATTCTTCCCTGCTATTCATTCTTGGATTCTTGTCGCTTATCGAAAAACCATCAAGGCCATTTGTCGAGCCAAGTCGCTCGATTCCTCCTTTAGTTCCCTATTTGTGCACACAGAGCTGGCTGTTCGAAACATGTTTCTCACAAGCGCCCTCTTTGTGCGTGAAGGGTAGGAAGAAAAGCAATGAACAAGGACGTTTTTGCACTTAACGAATTTCGATGGTGAGAAGAGTGGAGCAAATGTATCGGCCTCTCGTGAGTATAGAATGATCTTCGTTTCTTTCCTAAGAAGGCGTAATTGTTTGTCTAATTTCACCAAGATTACGCACTTAATGCGATTTTACAAAGAAGAGGAGAAACCTCCATTTAAATGCGATTACTGTGGAGTTTTTAGAGAACGGTAGACATAAAATATTGGCCCAAACAGAGAAGAGAATGACGAAGGAAAGCTATGGAAGCGAGATCGCCTTTAGCAAGAGATGATTAGAAATGCGTCAGAATGCCGGTGGTCGTATGAAAAACCTCATGTTGATTTAAACAGAACGCGAGAAAGTAATGTGGTGGTCTTCTTCGACAGCTAACAGTCAACGAGTAATTTCGTATCCTCAGCAATTAGTCAGTGAGCCATGCGAGAACTCGAAATAAATAATGTATGAACGCTTGATACTCGCTCTCATACTTGACATACAGCTTGAAGCTCCGGACACCGAAAGGTATCAGGAATACTCTCTCGGTGTTATTGAACGACAAATTCTTGAAGAAAATTTTCATATAGAGAATGGTATTAAAAAAATGGAGAAGTTTCACTGGTAATGAATATTAACATCAAGTCGCCTAGAGTCCTCCTTGGCAAAAAGTGTAGAATAGGAGGAAAGTGAAATGTAATCTTAGTGATACTAGGAATTAAAACGACTAGAATCCACGTTTAGTCGCCGTTCTGTAATTGAATGCACTGAGCGCCTGAATTGAATGCTTCTGTGATCTTCCAACGGATTACCGACTCATCGTGGATGAGGTGCTCCTGGGTGTCGGGCTGCTATGTACAGCGGGGTGATTCATCCCCCTGGCAGTCTCCCAGGCTGAGGACTCCGGTGTTTCCATCAGGAAACCTAGCTAAAAGTAAACCAATACCAGGATTCACCACCGTCCTGGTATCAAAGTCACATGGCGGTAAATCTCCCTCTGATCCACAAGTGCTGCGACCGCTTGTGGTGGTGAATGTGGTGGTGCAGACTTTGGCCAGACTGACCTCGGGATTCCAGGGAAACACAATAGCTTAACCAGCAAACCTCCGAAAATGAAGATTATGCTGGGACCTGCACAACCAGTGAGGACGGGCCATTCAAGTGTCAAGTGTCAAGTGTGAGTCTCCATGATGGAGCATCGCCACCACAGGCAAGGTAGAACTTTAGCAGTAACTTTGAAGGCATCCCAGTATCCAGAGTATTTGTTAATTTTCTTTTTAATAAAAAAATTTTAATAACAATCCTCTGAGGTAGAACGGACACTTATAGAGCAATTTTGCAACAGAAATACGACACTACATAAGCATAGCATCTAATCAGGACTGCCTTTGAACACATAAATACTTCAACACGAGGAAGAACAGCTTCTTGATGGCTTCCTATTACCGAAGACACCGTTGGGCAGTTAAACGATATCGTCGAGAAAAGAGAGAAGTATCGAAAGTTTTGAGAAGGCATTAGTGCAGTTTGTAAGAAACCTCCGAGAGTTCGCATGGAGCTAAATAGCGAGGAAAAAAGAATATTCGCAGGACAGGAATAAACAAACCCAACTCGTAGTGGGATGATTGGACGCCTTTACCAGAAAAATTCAATTGGACACAGTGAAAGGGGTTGCTTCCGAAGCGCGTCGTGATGGGAGCTCGTACTCCCAGAGTAGGAATTTGAGGAGTGGTTGCAACCAATAATTACGCAGCCGGAGCAATTCGAAAAAGAACAGGCTCCTGGAGAAGAATAGTGAGAAAAAAGGAAAGTAAGAAGGAGTTTTAAAAACGATGGCATCTGTTAAATACTTTGGTAGAGCTGCATGAAGAATTGTATACTCTTGGAGAAGAATAGTAAAGAGAGAAGAGAAAGAATTCTAGAAATGATCGTAAGACTAACTAAATAGCCGCAGTGTTCTGAAGTGCAGAACACTGCTAAGGAAAAGGAAAGGAGGAACAACTACGCAACGGAAAAGCTCTAAACATTATTGATATAATACGCCTTAAAAGTAAAATTAGATGAGAATCCACATCAAGCGATTGGTTGCTCGAAAATGAAAAACGGTACAAGTACGAACACAAAGATTATTGAATAAACTCAGATGAAGTGAAACGAATTTGGTAGAGTGTCTTGGGAATGGAATTCACAACAGAAGCAACTGGGCTCGAATGCTTAGCCTAAGGAACTCCAGCTTCGCTTGGAACTTCAAAGCACTCGGAATTCCGTTGGAGGATGCAAAAACAACAGGAATGAAGTTCGAATACAACTACAGGGATGCTGAAATATGTGCGTTTTTGCTCATACCTTCGAATAATCAAAACAAGTATTAAAGCAAAAGATATTTATTATTGAGCACAAAAGCAACGCAAATTAGCAGGCTCGCTTTCCTTATAGTGCGCTATCCTTGACTTTCAGCTTACGGCATATATACAAGTTTCTATGAGTCAGTTTTCAAAAACTGTTTGTGCATTAGCACAAATTCCACTCCTTTCGCTATCTCGGAACCGTTCCCCAGGCATACAAACGGCTTCACGTCTTCGAGTTTCAATTCCTATTCAAAAAGTGATATTTGATGTGAGCGAGATTGCTCAACGGCAGTGATAGACAAGCTAACCCATGCCGTGAGTGGACTTTCTCGAAGATGCTTGTGTGTTTTCCGGACCACTCTTCCTTCCCTCGTTAATCTGTTTTCTACTTTCGTGCAAAAGTACGTGCAAAACCGTTCGAGTAGATTCAAAAGAACACGACGTAGGCATCTCAACAATCTCCGAGGATCCAAAGAAGACTTGAGATCGATAGCCGCACGGAATTGGGATAACGTCTCACAGGCGGCCACATTTTGTTCACACTTGCAACTGACGCAGAAACTTCGTTTCATCCATCACAGTTACCTGACCTCTCTCCTAACAACAACCAATTTTTCAAGCACCTCAACAAATTCCTGTGCAAGAAGTGCTTCAGAAACCAATCCGCATCACATATCTTGAATGCTTTTAGCGACTTCACCACAAGCAATTGTTGGCCCTTGTGGATATAGCACGATTTATTGCTTTGTTAATAGAATTCTTTCATGCAGAACCGCTTCTACAGTTAGTCGACGGTCCGATCCAGTGCAACGTAGAAGTTCTTTAAATGGATAGAATTCGTTAATTTAGTAGGACTTCGACTTTTTTACATGGCAATTTCAAACACTTGAACATTTAGAAAAGGAATTTAAAAAGTGGAATGTGATTTGATGTGAACTTTCACCATAAAAAGGAACTATCGATTTCCACGAGTAGTAGATGCTATTCCGTCAATGCTCAACAGATCCTATCGTTCAAGCAACATCGATCCCATCTAAGAAACGATTCACTTTACCTCTTCATATCCTTTCAAGTTGCTCAACCCGACAAAGTTCCACCAGAAAATAAAAAGAGATATCTTCAAAATATATGCTCCACCAAAGGACTAAGTACATTAGGAGAACTGGACAGAACTCGTGGAATTATTGCCAAGGACCATACACATCTCAAGCAGCCTTGATCGCTCAACGCAAACTCGACGGGCGATCTAGTGCTGGGAAAACTGCTGTTGAGAAGTAAAAAAAACCAAATACGAAGCGTCGTTAGAATAGTAAAGTACTTGTCAGAAGTTTTCAAGGCTTATTATTGAGAGCTACGTTAAACACTTCCTCTTTGGATACCTTGAAATTAAAAACACTTAGAACTTCGCTTCGTCATCCATCATAGATGATTGGATAGAAATGGCATGGAAGAAGAAATAATGAAATTTGAAGAAGAAAAAACACCAAGGAAGCCGTATAAAAAGCATGCCAGAAGAAACAAACATTGAAAAGAGTCGAAAAAGATAAGAAAAGTGCTCAAAAGTAATGGAACACGAGACGTCCTTCGGTGGCAATATGGCTCATAGCATTTGGTGAGATCGAAAGAGATATGTAAACATCAATGAAAAATACCCAAATCTCTAAATAAGGTAGAAAAGTATGGAAACTAAGCGGACGCCTAACCGTTGGTGTCCGGTGGTCGATCGGCGAAGTTGATCGGTCTGCCGACGATTATTTCCACCACCGATTCCTGCTGTCGGAGAATCGACGCCACCTGTCGATAAGCTTCTTTTGCTCGTCTCTATTAGATCCCCTATTTCACCTATTTTTTCTTTGAAATTAAAGATTACAACAGGACTAGAATAGAGCGAACACCGCCTTGAGAGCAAAAGCAGAAAACTCCCATCTCTCAATAGGAAAAAATCCAGAAACTGAATTCAAAACAACTCGATCGCATTTGCACTGCGTCGACTGGGAGCTTTGACTGTTTGTGTACACTGCAAAATAAATCAGCGACACTATTTGACACTTCGGACTTCACTTTCATCATTAAGAATCCCGTTGTAGAATTTCGGAAATCGTCGATTTTAATGGGAAATTTCGACTAAATGAATAATCCAAGTCAATTCTTAAAATAACATTTCAATAAAACTAAAAATGTTCACAGATTCAAACCTGCTGACTACTCATTCCATGAGTGCTGATGTTTCCGACTTGTAGGACATGGTCTCCTGGTCGAAGACGGCGGTCCTGAAAAAGCATTAACGAGATGAGGAAGAAAAAACGGTGTTTCGCGCTAAAACGATGACGTTGTATTAAGAAATCATACTTATTATGACAGGGATAGGATGTAATTAAGAACTCTAGTGAATCTAACCGAATAAACTGAATAGGGCGGGTATGGCTAAATTTCGGTGGCTCATGTTTAACTGAAGGGTTTGGATCAGCAGGGATCATAGAGAATGGGGTATTTGGGTGCTCACATAGTAAGTGACACTTTTCAAAAGCACTGAATTTGGCCTGTCTTAACAAAGACATTGCATTTTACCGAAGATAAAGGTTTCGCTTGTATCTCCACTAATCCAATTAATCATCAGGTGATTCCAATGGGCAGCAGTGAAGTCCCTATTCATGTCGTGTCCCAGGGCTACTGAGTGGGCGCCGCTCGTTCGACGTGTATGACGAGCACCACTCTTCGTATACGCGACGACTTCTTGCTATTATTGTTATTATATTATACCTTTTTATTTTCTGCCTACTATTATTTCGCGGCAGGGTACTAAGCGAAATACAACCACAACGTTGCTGAGATATTTGCAAAACTCTGGACCGCAGGTGTCTATGGTGGGGAACGAACGCGCTATTGTCCTTTCCTTTCGCGTTATCAATCCCGCTGACGGGTGATCGCTGTGGCAAAGATCGATAGAAATAGCTGAGAGACAGGCGAAACGAAGGACCCGCATAGTGTGGTGGTGAACGCGCTACTCTCCGGAAAGGACAATAGCGCGTTCGTTCCCCACCATAGACACCTGCGGTCCAGAGTTTTGCAAATATCTCAGCAACGTTGTGGTTGTATTATTGTTATTGTTTTATTGAAAAGATGTGGAGCTTATTTGTTAAGCGCGGTAAAGAGCTGCTTTCAATCTTTATTTAATTTACTCGATTGCAACCTTTTGGTAGATGCGTCATGTAGGACAGACAACGTACACATAGATATAGGTACGAATATATGTATGAGAGTACGAAGGTTCCAAAAGAGGAACCCATCCGCATATATCCAGCTTAGAAAGCGACAACTAAACGAGGCTGTATTGGTAGTCACGGTCTTTTTTTTTACTTGGAATGCAAATCCTATTAAGCTGCTCAGTTAGGCCCATAAGCCGTCAATCACATTCTAGACGCAGTCGCAATAGAACATAATTATTTCTGACATCAAAAACAGAGAGAAAGCTCTCACCTCTGTGACTTTTGCATTCAAAAAATGGCACAAATCGTCAGCAATCTTACTATCCAACTCAATCTCTCATTTAAAAAAAACATGAACAAAAAATTATGAGCAGATAAAGTTCCGTTAAAGAGATGTCATAGGTCAAGTCAAAATCACCATAGTACTTTGAGTAAGTGAATACGCTGTAAGGACTAGTAAAAGAAGACTAAAAGCGAAAGAAACACACTTTGTCGGCCGGACTTCCTGGTATGATCGTCTTGACGACGACGCCGGTGCTGGCGCCACCCACGATACCGAAGCCGAGGCCTCCCCCCTCGGTGCGCAGGCGGATCACCTCGACTTGCGTCCATTCACCGGACAACTGAACAAAACACAATGATAGCACTCGGGGAAATCATCTAATTCACCTGTTTATTACATAAATCCATAAGTAATCACTGTACACACTTTTTTCTGTAACAGAAGGCATTCATAAAAACATTAAGTAAACCATGTCAACAAAAATAAACACAGTAACGTAGCGTTCGGACTTCAGTCTCGTCCACTTTCAGTCAAAAAAAGACTGAAGATTCCATAATAGAAAAATTTTAAAGCTGATAAAAAAATCGAACTAGGTATCCTCTGAAATTTACTGCAAGATGGGTTTCGGAAAATTATTATCGTCCTCTGATCTTTGAAACCCAACTTCGATTGTACATCCTAGGTCACGTTAAACTTTGTTAAAAAGAACAAATGCCACTGGTAACAACACATTTTCGGCAAACGTTTTTTGCTCCGTTGCGATAAAGTTGTTTGCATCCAAAGCCTATCAATATCCCAAAAAGTTTTATGAACGTATCTATCAGATGGCTTGTTGATTAAAGACGTCCACCTGTGGGTGCCAGAAGAAACCGTAGACGAGGTGCTCGAGGAAGCGGTGGTAGTTCGTTGGCTTAGAGGTTAGATGAGTGCTGAATTAGTTGGAGTTCGGTAAATAATTTTTTCAATTTTTCCGTTGATTATATGACACGTGTTCGGACGATTGCGAGGAAGTGGATGTAGCATTCTTGATTGATTAACAGCGGTTATGAAGACTGCGGGTGCGTGTGGCGCAGTGGTCGGAGGCGCCCTGCAACACACACGTGTAATCGATCCTTTCGCCCATGAGCAGCCAAGCTTCCCATCCCTCCGGGATCGGCAAATTGGTGCCGGACCTGTCTGGGAGGATAGCAACACTGGCCCGATACATCGGTAGGCCACCGCGAGTCAATGTAAAGGTCATCTATGCATTCAATCACCTCCAAATGATCCTTAATGAAGTCGAATGTAATGCATGGCGCATCCCTCAGAGGTTGACCAACGCCGATAGCTTTATCCTTTATCTTTTTATGAAGATCGCAGTTCTTGATGCTACTTGTAAAATTATTGACGGTAAGTAGTCATCATAGTCATTTTATCAGAAGTGAAGAGGTTCCACATACCGCCACCAAACCGTCAGCATTATTCTGGTCTGTAAGAAATATAGCTTCAGGAAATCCTCTGCCATTCAGTCTTTGCCCAATAATTGTGTGAAAAATATTGCTTGTGATAAAAAAATTCATCTTTTCGTCTCTGGTCACAATAAAGAAGCTGATTGTGTTTACTGTGTAGAAGAAGCGTGTGCGGTTGTGTCTCTCCTTGAATTACGATCTTCTGGTGCTCATCGCCGACGGCGGTGAAACGTCCTCATTACTGTTCATCTACCCGGTGATCATCTTCATCACGAAACTTATAAAATGAATGTTGTATTGAAAGGATAGTGGACTCTTTCACAGGAGCAACGTTGACATTGCGAACGATTTTCGTAGCACTTCGGAGGAATGGAGGCTTCGTATATTGATCGCTTAGTTATTGCTCAAATATCGAGAACTGTAAGGCCTTTTAGCCCAAATAGAGAATACGAATGCAACCGAATGCGATGTACTCGCTAATTTTCTAAACTAAATACATTTTAATAAAGAATGTTATTAAGCAGTTAAATCGGAAGAAAAACAGAGTTTTCGGTCAATTTCCAGTTGCTAGGAAGTCTTGAAACAAATAAAAACTTGCGGAAGCTCTGCTAAGCAAACTCAAATATTTTAAAGAATAGAACAACGGCATCAGGGTTCAAAAGTTGGAAAGACTCTCAATGAATGCTTCTTACGGATATCGGTACCGAAGATCGTAGTTTTCTAAATGAAAAAAAGATCAGAAAAATGAATAAAGGACAAATTTCGCTCTGGCTGCGCTTTCCGGGTTCTTATGTCTCAAGAGTGATGCCCTCAGATCCCTTCATTTCAAATGGCACTGAATCTATACAGATAGGCCGCCCTATTCGTGTTTATTCTTTAGAAGCTGTTCGTCGATCATATGGATTGTGTCCGTCATGAAGTTCATCAATAAGAACTGGACAGTATTGGCCAGCCAATGATGCTTAGAAACACCTTTTAACTACGTAGAATTCAACTGCGTAGAACTCTTTTCACAACTCAACCACCAAGCTAATGCTAATCAACGAATACTGAAAGGGAAATTATGCTTAAAACGAGGCACTCACCGCGTGCATAAACGGAATCATGGCGCCCTAATGGCCAAGTTAAGTCGGGGCGAGTGCTCGGACATCCATCATAAGGAAAGTAGCTGCCGAAGGGTGCGACGGGTGCGAGACAAATTGAATCGGCGGGGTCCAACACTCGCCTGTGTCCAGCGCGCCTCACGCCGACTGAATTCCCTCGTCAGAAAATCTCCTTCAGCAGCGGCTCCTACATCTGCTTTATTATAGATGCCTCTACCCATGAACAAACCATCGGTCTCGACGGGATTCGCAAGGGTTCACTGAAGTACGCAATCACTACTCATTTCAACCGTCCATTGTCATTATCGCAAGTATTGTCATGAACATCTCCGGAAAAAAGCGCTGAAGCACTCTTAATATCAACGCAAACCTCAATATCATTTAGAACTCCTGCATGCTGAGTTCCGGCCGACATACTGCGTCCTTTAAAAGGACAAGGTTGCGCGCACTGGTAAATCTCATTGAGATGCGCCGCCACTTCCACTTATAACATTGTTGACGCTGCGTTCACTCAGCCCAGGGGTAAACGAAGAGAACAACCTATGTAAGCCAAATAGAGAATTAACAACCCGCTGTGTTATCATTCGTTAAATAAAGGTTGCTTCAATTGACCAAAACTATTGGAATACGAATCGCTTGTCTTTGGTGGGAACCGAAAGAGGCATGTAACTCTCGCCGTTGGAGCTGTTCACTATCTCATAAATTAATTTCTTATCCTGAACTCGAATATACACGCACTATCCAACTTCTTTTGAAGACAATATTTCTCTTCGAGACATGTGACAAGCATCGCCGACAAGAGGTATAAAAACTCGTTTTGATTCCCTCGACAACATAATAAAATTTAACTCCCTTTCTTTAATGTGGAAAAAAGTCAAAGGAACGGTGGTGATAAGTCGATCGATCGATCCATCAACAATTGATCTAAGTCCTATAGAAGAAAAAGGAGAATGGTTTGTAGTAAAGTAGAAAGAAGGTGGAAGACGCCTGTGAGAAATAGCTGAATAAGATGGATTATCCTTAAGTCTTCGAAAAGAGGAGATCCATCAAGCTAAAGAGCTTACCGAACAATTTAGACACAGCTCTCATTTGTCATAGAATAAACTGCCCCGGAGCTAAATAAAAATGAGAGGAACCAAAGAGTCCAGCCTAGTATGAAAATTCAAAGCTTCGGATGGATATCGATGTCAGCAAGTTTTTTCACTTGAATAAAGTATGCGAATGACTGTAAGAGAAAAGGCACCGATAAAGAAGAGTGCAACCTAACGTACACGAAACTGGCAAAAAAGCCCGGTAAAAAATGGGTGAAGCTGGAAAAGAAGAACAGCAAAAAACGAAAGATGTGATTCCTACTAATTCCATGTTGTGCAAGTCATAGTGGGAAACAGAAACGGTTAAGTATTCTCTGAAGGTTGACTAGACTGGTGAAAGCTGTTTTTCAAACGGAATCGATGGCCGTTGCATCATAGCAGTTTTACACAATGCACGTGGCTTTAAGCTTCGTTAGAAGCCACTTGAAGTGTCTAGCACCCTATTTCGTATCCAAACTACTTATACTGATGTTCTTCAAGTGGAGGGAAGAAAGGCCTAAAAACGCAAGGCTCTCTTGCTTAAGTGTTCTTTTCATCTCAGCTATCATATGTTATCTAATTGTGTGGACAACAGAATGAATGGACCGCTTGCAAACGACAAATTTAACAATCGACGAGCGCTCAGCTTTTTCTACTTCATGGATTCTCGTGTAATCCTGAAATTAATACTGCGAATGCAACTAAATAATTCATTTCATGCCAATGAAGAAAAACGCGCCAAATGAATGGCGTAAACAAAAAGTGACAAATGTAAGAGCAAAGAAAGACATACTTGCAGACCGTTCAAGTGAATGTTTTCCATAAGAGCGCTTAAAGTTTACATACAACAATGAGTGAGATTCTTACGATCATTGAGAAGGCGAATTTTGGTTTGATTTCCCAATTTGAATGCTTCTAGTAGGAGTTCACCAACGTCACATCTCAGTTCCACCCTAGCAAGGTCTACACACGCCGGGCCACGTAAGCGTAAAACTGCACTGCGGTACACACTGGTACTAAATGAGTAGAGAAAATATTTGAATCATCTACTTCCTAAGGCTAAAGGTTTCCTTAGTCAAAATAATAAACAATGGAATACCGTGGTGGAAACTACACATCTTTGCATATCAACCGCATAGTCAAGCAAGTACATTAACTCCATGAGCTCTAAGTATTAATCCAAAATGATTTGCAGAAGAAAGTGTGGCCGCCGTAAGACTTGTGTTTTCGTTTTACCCACGTTTCTTTTGTTTTTGAAAACGTTAAGGGCTATAATTTACGTTTATTATCTGGTATATCTAAAGTGCTCATTAAAAATACTTTTGTTGCTCTGCGTCATCCTGAAATATTCCATGTTCTAGTGTACCGTGGTAACGGGTTTTAAACATCGGAGAGCACAGGTGGTCCAAAGTTTGCTAATCCGACCGAAAGGTATGTAAGAGCTGGCGATGTTGGAAAAAGCATGCTCGAGTGAAGTTGAATTTGTTGTGTTGGTTGTTGCTGATTGAATTTTCCTTGTCGATCATACGGAGGATCCTTGAAGAACACAACCATCGATGAATCCGCGACAACGGCCAACTAACCATGTCGATAGCAGACCGAGCTGGTATCAATTTTGATCGTGTTTATGGAGAATCACAAAAGTGTATTTTGCATCGACAACTCTGACTCTTTAAGGGACTTTTTCTCCGATTGAAAAAATGATCTGTACACCGACTGAAAAGGCTGACACCAAAAGAATAAACAGGTGAAGGGAATGATGTCAAGTAGATATTTAGCAAGGTTTGTGGCGAAATTTCCATAGCGGCACGTCCCAGAGGCATTCTGTGCGTCAGAGTAGCCTAGAAAAATTCGGAGGTGAGATGGTCGTTCACGGGAAGCAGACAGTGATGTGTATTGGTATCGGAAAAACGGAGCAGATGTGCAACTGAATTGCCTTTTCGCACGAGCTCGAAAATCCCGATCAATTTCTATGCGGCCAATACCACACAATTAGCCTGGAACCAAATCCGCTGCGGAACCACGATGAATTTCCTCTTCCCCTTTTCCTCTTGTCATTCAAGGACAACATAGTTCATATTCATTATTGGAAGGCATTATTGGAAATTTTCTACGGAGCTTCGTAACAAAACTACAAGTGAAAATCTGAAGAAAAAATATTGTTTTAATCACTGCTAGGTCACGTAAATAACATTATAAAGAGATCACATAAAGTAGTTAAGCGAAGTTTGAATCAGCTGTTCTGGAATTGTCGACAAATCTCGAGAAAGAACTCTGAAGCCGACACTTGCCAAAAAGTTCCTGGACTTTTTTAAAGGGACCTTTAAAATAACAGCACTCTCTGACGCGAAGTTCGAGGAGTCTAAAAGGATTTTGTGGCCTTAGGTGAGTCTGACAGATTGTCGAATGTTGTTCGAAATCACTGAATAGTCATTAACAAAGTGATCCAACTAGAAAAATTATCCTATCGCTGGGATTTCGATAAGTTTTTGAGGTTTCCGAGTTAAAACTCACTTCAGCTTTTCCAGTCATTCTTGGATGTCTATGAAATCGTCGTTCTTTTACAATAAATGTGTACCAAGATAAAGGTACAATTTCCCCATACCAGTACCAGTTTGGTCTTATGCCAATTTTTGGTCACATATCCAAAGAGCAGCAGGCAATCACCTCGAATAGATGATGGCTTCATCGTGCTTCGATCGGACTGTTGTGCTGGTGTGGGAAGTGGGGATCGGATGGAGAAGGTATGCTGTGGGACGGGCGTTAGACAACGGTTGATTTTGATCGATAACTAACTGCACATTCATTCCGCCAAAGCACGATAGAGTAGTGGTTACGATTGAAGTGTTAATTATCCACGGCGATAATGAACACTCTCAGCCAATGATTTGAAGTGGAGAAGAGGAAAAAAAACCGAAAAGAAGTAGTAAGAGAGCCGAATTGGCACTGAATGACGATTACTCACGCCATAGAAGGGGATTCGAACTTACTCGAGCTGCTTTGTGCCGTCGGCGATAAGGATAAGGTGACATCCAGCAACGCTAATCTTTCGAAAGTAACGACAAAAAGTATAACAGCGAGTGTGTGAGCGAAGCGATTCGATGCATTTGATGGGAAGCAAGCAAAAGTCGCATGAAATTTGATATGGTAGGGGATAGCAGAAGGGGTGTGTTGGGGTGGCAACGTCAGTGAAGGGGCAGCACCTGTCCGGCGAAGACTGGATGCTAACGGATAAGAACTGATGTGACGGCTAGTGGTCGCCGATCACAGATCGCTTTTAACCTAATAAGTCTGGTACGGCTCTAAAAAAATAACCCGCATGAATTCTTGAAACGCGATGGAAGAAGAACAACCAAAATCCAGTAATCCGATTAATATCGTCGCTCGTTTTACCTACAGCGGATGAAAAAGGACCATAATAAATATGGTAATTTTTTACTGCTACGAGAAGTGACGCGGCGGTGGTTCGATATTGACGCTGCAGCTGATTGCACGAGTGTGGAGACCAGCCAGATGCCATTACGCTAAGCCTCTCTGGAGCTGCTCTCATACACGATAATTGTCGCAGATCATATGGAAGAAAGACACTCGAAATGTTCAATAGATCTCTAATGTTCTACGAAAAACTCTGACTCGCTTCATCACTGGAAATGAGGAACAAGAGCGAGTGCAATAGGAGCACTTGCTACATGTGATGAGGACATGGGAAAAAACGTGGCTGGTCTCAGTGCTCCGGATAGAATGGAAAAAACATCAGTCGCTAATTTAGCACGGAATTGGTAATATTAGCACCAAAGAGTAAACTATAATGATATGAAACAGAATATGGACGAGAATATCAGAAGGGAGCTGATATGGGAGTAAAATGGGAAATCAACGCAGGAACAGAGACGGAAACAAAAATATGTTAAAAGTTTGAAAAGGAAATATGGCTATAAAGACGGAACACTCAGTCGTCGCATGCAGAGCAGTTGTCACTCAGTAAAAAACGACTACGAAGAGAAAAAAGAGAACGGAGAGGAGACACTCACCACCATGTTGACGGACTCGCGAACGACAGCGATCGCCAGGATGTGGTTCGCGGATCGCGCGGCAGTCGCGCGGAACTCGGCTGCCTGCGGCGCCCGGACCAGCTGCGGCCCGTCGCCAGGCGCCGCTGCCCCGCCCGCCGGTGTCGCAACCCCGCCCTCCGTCCGTCGCGTGCTTCCGCGGACCGTCGCCAGCGCGGCGATGCGGTCCCCGATCCGTAGCCGGGATCCCGACCTGCAATGCACGGCTAGTGGCTGTTCTGCGTTTCGAACACACCTTTTTCATCTCTCAGTCGATGGTCTGCTCGTGTCACTTCTCACCATTTTCACCATCTCATTCGCTCACTATCTTTCTCTCTACTTCCTATTTAACCATATCTCAATATCTGCTGAATAGTGGTGGAATCTTTGTCACCATGCGAATAATTTGTGCTCATCCGCGTAGGACTTACCTCTCGACTGCTCTTTGAGTCGCGTAATTTGCTTCATTAGGTGCCGAGCCATTGCACACGTGCGCAGTCGGTCACATATAAGCTCGTGGTCTCTCAGTGAGTGGTCCACTAGCCAGCCTTGTTGGTCACACACACGAAAGGTCGGCGGTTCTACTTTCGTGGTCATTTCTGATCAGCAATTTATCGACTGTACACATTCGTCCGTTTCTCCGCCAGTCCTATTTTCTCTCAAAAAACCAGTGCGACTGCTGGTCAACATCGCGTCGAGAAATTTCGCTGCTTATACGACGAAAAACAACTTTTAATAAACACCATGACGCACGAATGGTGGGATTAATAATGACTACACTTTATAAATAGCTGTGTTGGGTGTGCGCTTAAAGGAAAACCAACTAAGCATCAGAGAAAGACAATCTTAAAAATTTCTTTAGAGTTTGAGTCTGCTGACCGCACTCTAAAATAGAGGTTCAAAAGCCCACCTAGCTTTCACATCCTTAGGACCGGCTATGAACAAATAACAGTCGTCTCTCCTCAAGTCCAAAACGTCCAAGTCGAGCGAATCAACGTTATACTCGGTGAAATGAAGTTTCTGAAAATTTCCTGCCTATTGTTTTCTTGGACCTACTGATGCGAACGATTCGAGGATTTTAATGTCGGTATTGTAGACACCCAAAGAATTATGCTTCCGAGGACCGGCAACCGAAAATTATCTGGTTTTGAACTATGCATTGGAATTATTTTCCAATGAACAAATAAAGTTTATGGTTTCTAAGTCTTCTTTTCCTCTTTTCTCTCTAAATCTTTTTTTTGAGAGCTTTAAATTTTCTTCTTAGTGGTATAAATATCTGGGCTAAAACTGGTTAGTGATAGTGTACTCTTAAGAATTTTAGCCTATCAGCGGTATGCAACAGCAGTAAGATTGTGATTATAACTAAAGCCTCAGCTTAACTGGTTCATTGCCATTTAAGCTCCCCAAATCAATCTCGTTGACAGGTGATTGCTGATGGCAGAGATCGACAGAACTAGCTGAGAGACAGGCGAAACGAAAGATCCGCATGGTGTGGTGGTGAACGCGTTACTCGCCGGAAAGGACAATAGCGCGTTCGTTCTCCACCGCAGACATCTGCGGTCCAGAGTTTTGCAAACATCTCAGCATTATTGATGTTATATTTCTTTTGATATTGTCGTTATTCTTAAAGAGAAGTACCATGTTGCTTTAAAACGGACAACTAGCTTCTAAAGATGGGACGGTCCGAAGAGTCTGTGACAACGCTCTGAGGGAACAAGCCCTTAAAATTGACTCGAATAAAACAGTAACATCAATAAATATGGGAAGAGATGCATTCCTTAAACTTCGAGTTCATCTGAAATATGACGAAGCTTGTGCAGCGTAGTGATTTGAGATGCCTCGCAACACACACGTGATTTTTGGTTCGATCCCGCGTCCCGGGCTCACAAAACCTTCCATTGCTCTGGGATCGACAAATTGGTATCAGACTTGTCTGGGAGGACAGCGGCATTGACTCATCAGTAGGTGGCCAAAAGTCATTTTATGGTCTAGATATGCATTCAAATCACCTCTAATGATCAAATGAATCAAATGATGAAGTCAAATGCAAAGTCATACCATTTTAAGTAGGAATAGGAATTGATCAACGTCGAATACTTTGTCCTTTTTTATGACGAAGCTTGAAGATGACTTCCATTGCGAGAAATTTCAACATTCGACACGCACAAATCATCAATAACTCTGGTGATCACGTTATCTCATCTTTAGCACACCACGAAGCTTACTTAGAAAACTGGATTACTAGTATTCCACAATTGCGCTGGCCTGGACACAATTGATACTATGCTGATAATTCATAACCTACTAGATCAGAGGGAAGTTTGCCGCCTGGAGAGTCGGGCTACCCTTGTTGAGCAAAGTCACTACAGTGACAACTCGTGTTTCATATGAAATGCCGATCTCTTTTTCAACACGAATGACTCTGTTGGAGATTGCAGACCAGATTGCACGTCGCATTTTGACACCCACAAACATCTCTTGTCTACAAGGTGGTGAGCTATAGTAGGAGAACATTCAAGCAGTAGATGAGGACAAAATGAAGCACAGCAAAACTAGCGCGATTAGTGAAATCAAGAAGGTCCGCTAGTCTTGCACCTCAATAAACATTAGATCAAGAAAAATTCGGTTCTCCTTAGTTATAAGGAGGTTTCGCCGAAATGAAGTTTTGTTTTCACTGTTCTTTTTCAGTGAACAAACACAGGACTGGTATCGCAGAATTTATTAGAACACAAAAGATGACGTTTCGGCGGTTTTGCCTACTTCAGAGCCTGGGAAGGTCAAACTGACATAAGATCTACTCAGCTAAACATTTTCATAATCTTAGCAGATAAGACAACACATAAATTTGCATTCGTGAAATAAACAGCTTCTTTTAAACACCCACCATTGTTCCAGTTAATTGGTGGAAAGCAGCCGCGCCAGAGTGATACATGGGCTAGGAAAGTGCCCAGGTTAGGTCCTAGAATCATCCTGAGGTATGGCGCGAGATTAAGTGTGATAACACTCCTTCTTGCGGTTCATTTTGGATTTTTGGAATTAATCCATAACGCTTCAAGAGTTTTATTTGCTGATGTTTTGGATTCCCGTGCTAGAACATCGTTAGTTACCACGTGACCATAGAGAATGTTCTATGACGGCTGCAATAATTGGCAATGGCAGGATTCGATGTAATTCGCTATCGATTAATGACTGATTGCTGAAAAAACGATAGACTCGGATGGTTTTTTTAATCCTTATCCGACGATGTTAGCTCGATTGGTATCATACGATGTGGAAATAGTGCCCCCCTTCAGCTTTGAATCAACGTATATCAGCACATACCGACCCAGAGATAATCCAGAGAAGGAACACAGGAAATGTTTCCAGCGAACGAGAAGAAGCAATTACCGATTACGAGATGGATAGCTCTTGGAAACCTCTATCCAGCACTTCAGGCAGTCATGGACAGCATTGCTAGGAAATCTAGTCAGGTCCTAAGCACGCTACCGAAAAGCTTCTAAAGCTTCATCGATGTCTGCTGTTTGTTGCATAGTGGCACAATGAGCCGATTATCATGGGAGTTTTGCGGGTGCAGAGTCAACAGGCTCGATCCACTCTCTGACCGTGCATGTTTTAGCCAGAGGACTCAGGCACTTATATCTATTCTCCTTTATTTCATACGACGGAGGGTGGACTGGCCATCGAAGAGGTCCGAGTAGTAATAATGGAAGATTTTCTCCATTGCTTTTCTAGAAGCTGTAGTTGCTCCGTCTGGGCGTCGGTGTGCAGTCATCTTGATTTTATAATTGGCGAAGTCTTGGTGCCTTTTGCGAATGCTTTTTCCCGCCTCTGCCGCTTCCACCATAACTGCTGCTACTCTCTCTTTAAGATCCTTCTTTGTCATCTGTCTTCATTGTTTTGCAAGTTCAGAGGTGAGTTGACGATTAGCTCGTGTGATTCCATGTTAACGTGTCAGGTAGAGAGTTTCTAGAGGCAGACGTCTCTTGCTAAGTTTCGATCTCTCAGCTCTCATAGCGCTAAAGTGAAGATGCTGAATAAGCTGATCGTAACCCTCGTCGATGTTGTCAATTACGGCATCTTCCCAAGAGCCGACTAAAGAACGAGATGGTAAGGAGTGGAAACCTTCTAGTTTAGATTTCGTTGTTTAACTTATTCTCAGATAACCAGTAAATGTGGTGGAGGGAGGTTTAAATTAAATCATGAGTAATCAATATTTTTCTATTTCATTCCAGAATAACAATAACAAGTATGGATATCGTGGCATATATTGTGGATTAAAAAAGAAATCATGTAGATGATGTGTCAAGCATGCACCTGGCTTGCCTTTAGTGTCCGTTTAAGTTCTTCTTCGACCTCGTCTCTCAGAAACTGAACCAACTGTGTGGAAGCGTTATCACCTGGCAATGAAAATTTTACCAAAACTCTGTCGCACCTGCTGTCAATTAAACCATTCACTGAATAAATAGAATCGTATTCCAGATTATCCTCGCGAAGTGTGAAATCAATGAAGTCTGTGTCAACCCAAAAACAAGCCATCGAAATTTTACGTTCCTACTTACTGTGTTCTGAGGAATGAACCCGTCCTTGCCAGAAAACCCAACAACAGGAAGACTTCATACGCTTCTTTCACACCACCTCAATATGTGGTGAGTGTCTGTAGTCCCACAGAAAGAACAGCGTGTAATCAAATTTTCTGGCAGAGAGTATCTAGTAAGACTGCAAAGTCCTTCACGTGAAACCTGTTGTTAATCAATCAATCAACTCACTACTTTTCTTAGTTGCTTTTGGAGAGGATGTTGCTTCCTGAAATAAGTGCGTGAATTTTTGTTACTGTTAGAGAACAAACTCAAACGAAAAAACAAAATAAACAACATCTTTTAAGATATGTATAGCACACAGGTGTGGTAGGAACCAAATAATTGTTGTAATAACGATATATTCTCACAATGGTTTACCGGTTCATCGTGGCTGGGAGGTGTTCCTGGGTGTTGGGTTGCGAGGTAGTATCTCCTAAGATGAGAATGACTCAAGCATTTCAATTAGGAAGTCCAGCTAAGAGCAAACCAATTCCAGGATCCACCACTATCCTGATATCGAACTAGTCGCATGGTGGCAAATCTCCCTCTGATCCACAATGCCCGCGGTGGTGAAGACCTGGGGCAAACTTTGGCCAGGCTCTCCTCGGGACTCCAGGGAAACGCAGTGACTATACCAGCAAAATTCCGAAGAAGTGGAAATTATGTTGGGACCCGCACAACCAGTGAAGACGGGTCATTCAAGTATCCAAGTATCAAATAACGATGTATGAAGATGAAATATATGACTAAACACATAATTATGTAGAAATTTACGATAATCATTTATTAACATCACAAACAGGGCCCTAAAGCTCTCAAATTTTATGTCTGTTGCAGTTAAAGTTATTCAAATCCTCTGAAATTTACATCCTATTTGTATTGTTGTTCAAAAATGATATTTACATGGAAAGTTCTTACTTCCAAATTTGACGCTGTTCTCCGATTTTGAGCTCAGTTTTCCCACCTCTTACAAGACCCCTTTGTTTCACCAGCTAAAGCCCGAAAGTTCTTGAATTTCTA